TTTATTAATAAAGAAAAATTATATGCAGATCATAAAAATTGCCTCTTTTTGAATCCCTTAATGTTTCTCATTTAAGCCTTAACAATTATACCGATCATTGAAATTTGATTTCTTTCAGATGGCTGAACGATCCACAATTCGTTGGTAGCTTTGAGACCGAAGATCACGTGTACTTTCTGTTTCGTGAGACCGCAGTCGAGTATATCAATTGTGGGAAGGTAAAATCGATTTATTCACATTCCTTGTTATGTTTTTCCTTTTTCTCATTTCTTACGTACATTGTCGACTACATCGTTGCGTGCCATTGCGTACAATTCTGAACAGCATGTCTAAGGAGGATTTAACGAAGCGTTTCACATTTTTTTCCTTGTAGAAAATATATTCGAGGATAGCTCGGGTTTGCAAGAACGATCGAGGCGGACAGATCATGATGAAGGATGTCTGGATGACTTTCAGCAAAGCTCGCTTGAATTGTTCCCTTCCGGGCGAGTTCCCTTTCTATTACGATGAGATCCAGGGTGCTGTCTATCATCCCGAAGAAAGGATAGTCTACGCGACTTTCACGACTCCGATGTACGTTAAAAATGTGGATAATAATATTTCTTTTAAGTAAAAAGTAAAGAGGAAAGAGGAACGAAAGGAAACAAAAAATCTTATTAATGAAACGTTATTTTATGTCTGTTCATAAGTTGGGTACGAGGATGAATATGAGGGTAATATTACATAACAAAGTGTCGTATCATTCGCGCGAAGCTAATTTTTTGATAAATGAACGAGTAGAGAGATCGAGCGAGCGTGCGAAAGAGAGAGAGAGATGGCTTTTGAATCTTCTTTTTGCCATAGTAAATCGTCGTTTTTACAGTAACGGCATAGCTGGCTCGGCGATCTGTGCTTTCAATATGTCCAGTATCGTAGCAAGCTTCAATGGCCCTTTCAAGCATCAAGAGAACTTAGGGGCCGCATGGGAAAGGCGACCTGTTCCTCATCACAACAGGGAACATTGTGCATCACCGTCAAACACGGCACCTCATTTGATAATCGATAATCAAAGGTACCAATTGATGGACGATGCTGTCCAGAGCTCAACGTTGACGCCATTGCATACCGTAACGTTGGAAAGATTCACACAGATCGCTGTAGATCTTACGCCAACTAAATTGCATCGTGGCGTAACCGTATTATATGTCGCAACGACCGAGAGATTGATAAAGAAAATATCTGTACTTCCGAGGACTCAGGAAACTTGCGTAGTCGAGATATGGGGTCCACTTCCATCGATTCCAACCACATTGCAGTTCTTAAAGGACACACAAAGTTTATACGTTGGCATGGAAATTGGTCTATTGAGGTAAAAACAAAAAATTTGATGCGAAAGGCACGTTTAATTACAAGGGAGACGTTGTTGATACCTTGACACATTGATTCTTATTTTTTATTTTTTTTTTGTTCGAATTCAGATGTGATTTTTATTTATTAGAATACCAGCAGTTCAATGTCATCGTCATCGCAATCGTCAGGCATGCCTCAACGCACAAGAACCATATTGCGGTTGGAACGAACACTTGATGAAGTGCGCCCAAGCACCTAAGCAAAATCATCTTGCCACTCACTGGCATCAGGAGGTTACGAAATGTCCGGTACTCACTGATCCAGTCGATGGCGGTTGGAGTGCCTGGAGTGCCTGGTCGGCCTGTCAACATGGCACTGGAGAACAGTCGTCTCATGGTCATTCTCATATGCACTCCTACTTAGATCACGAAGAGGTATATCTCGTGTCCTATCACGCGAGGGAATTGCGTTAGATACCTGAGACAACTTACGTTCTAATTCATTTACAGATCACTGATACTTGTCAATGTCAGACCAGAGAGTGCAACAATCCACCTCCACAGCATGGTGGTACAGGTTGTGTTGGAGCACGCGTCAGAGTGACCAACTGTACGGTTCACGGCGGTTGGACAACCTGGTCAGCTTGGTCAGCCTGTTCTCAAACTTGCGGCTTCGCTATGAAAACACGTAGACGTAGTTGCACGAATCCCTCTCCAGCTTTCGGTGGTCGAGTCTGCGTAGGACACGATCACGATGACATTGTGTGTATCGATCTACCACCTTGTCCGACACCGGCAAAAGTTACTCCACCACCTCAGAATGGACAGTGGTCTCCTTGGGGTGCATGGAACGCCTGTTCTCGACCGTGCAACGGAGGTAAGACGTTTTATTTCATTAATGAAATAACTTAGTTAACAAAACTATATGATTATTAATCGTAAGACGCAATCTGTTATTAAAAATAACTCTAACTCTCTCTCTCTCTCTCTCTCTCTCTCTCTCTCTCTCTCTCTCTCTCTCTCTCTCTCTCTCTCTCTCTCTCTATCACTCCCGTTTCATAGGCATTCGAATTAGAAGAAGAACCTGTGACAATCCTTCGCCTAGGAAAGGTGGTGCCGAGTGCATTGGATGTGATTTTCAGGTGAAATATATTAACGTACCGTCAACTTTAATAGAATTGATGGGTGGATGGATGGATGGATGGACGGATGGAATGCAGATAATAACGTTGATCCGTACGTAGGTCGAGGAATGCAACACTCAGCAATGCGGAGAGACTAGAAGATATTCAGGATGGACACCTTGGTTAGCCGTGAACGCATCGATACAAAATGGAAGCGTGGGTTATACTGAAAAGCGTTTCAGATTTAGCTGCCGTGCACAAACGGACGATCCCTCGAGCGTGAGAGTTCAATTCGCGAAAGAAGAGGAACGTTATTGTAGAGACGATGGTTCTTGTTTGCGAACGAACATCAATGGATACGGAGAGAGCGTGGTCGAAAGTGGTTGGAGCGAGTGGTCAACTTGGTATCCTTGCGATCGACCTTGTGGAGGAGGCTCACAACGTAGAGTAAATATCGAAGCTTCGTTATTATTTGGTCCATTTGATAAAAAATATAATTAATTTTTGAAATTTTTTGAATTAATTCAGAGAAGACAATGCGAGTCACCGCCCTGCGAGGGAATATCCGTACAAACGAGAATATGTAACATTCATCCATGTAGAACAACAGCCACTTTCGGAAGTGGCATAGTGGAAGGACAATGGTCCTGTTGGACCGATTGGTCCGAATGTTCAGCTTCTTGCGGTGTTGGTGTTCGTACGAGGACAAGGGAATGCATCGGGCCAGAAAGTTGTGACGGGCCCAGACTCGTAAGAGAAACCTGCGAAATGCCTAGTTGCGAGTCCTTACTTGGCTGGGACACATGGTCCCGTTGGACCCCATGCGACAACGATCGTCAACAACATAGAAAACGTCAATGCCTTCAACATGGTAATGGAATGTGTCAAGGACTCAATCGGGAAACTCGAGATTGTCTTACGGATTGCACGGACAACGGTAAGCGATCAAATCCTTCAACGAAATCATATAATTTTCTCGAATAATCTTAATTGAAATGGCATTACGAAATATTACTCCAATGAGCACGATGATATTTTTCTTTGATAATTTCCAGATGTAAATGCTTTGCCATCCAGCGTAGAAAATGCCAGCGTCTCGGTAGGAGCTGTCGTAGGTAGTTGCATCGTTGGATTTTTCATCGGGTTAGCTCTAACGGCGGTTCTCTGCTTCTATTACTTGAAACGAAGAAAGCCTCGTGTACCAGGAAGTCCTCATTACATCAGTAAGCAAAATCCTTACGTCACAGTGCCATTAAAGGAGGTATGAAATATGCGATAAAACGATATTAGTCCTTTTATATCCTTCATTCGAATGATCTTTCTACGATAAGTGACATTATTATTATCGACAGGTAAACGCCAAGAGACAGCCTAGTTTTTCCGGTAGTACGAATGGAAACGGTACGCTTCGTGGAAAGAGTAATCCAAACGTGAACGGCCTTGGAAGTCCAAAATTATATCCGAAGAGCTTGGAGTACGAGTCGGCGACATTGAAACGCAATAGTCATGGTCAGCAACATATTCGTGCTGATCTCGATCAGGACAAGTACTATTGAACAAACGATCGACCGTATTAACGTCGTTTTGATAGTATTATACTTCGTTTGACATTAACGAATAATGATCATCGAGGAACGTTGATAAGAAAAAGAAATAATGATTTCTTTCTTCTCTTAATACATTCGCTTCGTCTCCAAAAAAAAAAAAAAAGAAGAAAAGAAAAGAATAACAAATAACTTCGCTAGGTGCGGTTTACAATTTTCTTCCTTTTTTTGGATTCAGTTCAGGATATTGTTCATATTGTTATAAAGCAAGCAAATTCGTAAATTGTTTCGCGTTATTTAAATCCTGAACAATCGGGCGAATGTGTTAATCGTCAGGTCACTGTGAAAGGGACCAAAAACAAAAAAGAAAAACGCAAACAACAACAAAAAATATATCGGGTATATATATCGTTTTATACAAGAACGTAAAAGCAATACGTAAAGTGCACTTTTTGCAGAGTATCTACTTAATTAAACTAATTACTTATAATAAGATCGATAACGCGTCGGATTTGCGTTTGATAAGAAAAAAAGAAGAAAAAAAATTAGAGACGAGTTTAATCTCGTGCACTTTTTTATCACGAGAACGAATGAATAAACCCCGAGAAGCTTAATCTTATGGATTATCATGTAAACGCCTTAGATGGTTGAACATTCGATTGATATATATATATATATCAATTTACATATATATATATAGCGTGTAATATGGGACAACTATTTTTTACGAGAGAATATTTACATATAGTTTATTTTTTATTTTTTCTTGTAAATACGTGAAAGCAAAAACCGTGTGCGTGTGCGTGTACGTCTGTGATACGAATGTGCGTGTTGTAAAGCGAGTGAATAGAATGTGTCTTTGATATGATAAATATGTATTTGGAATCTATATTTGTACAAAGAAGTTTCGGGCGTTTTATACACCAATCGAGGCTGAGGTTTCGTCAAACGTAAGGGATGTACATACATACGATAGATTAACGAATATTTTCTTCTTTTTTTTATTTTTTTTTTTTTTTGTTATTTTTCGTTATTTTTTTTTTTTATTTCTTCATGATAGAAAGAAGAAAGAAGATTTTTTGATACCGAATAACGTAGTGCCATGAGTTTGTACATATAGGACGCGTTTTAAAAAATATTACTTTTATATATATATATATACATACATATATATATATATAAATATACAAACACATATATTTACATGTAACTTTACGTTGGCTTTCGCCTGGGTTACGTTTTGCTATTGGCTCATATTGAGTCGTAAATGCGAGTTTTGAATTACATTTAAGGGAACAATCGCAAAAAAAAAGAAAGAAAAACGATATGCCTTATTGCCTGTCGTGATTGATCATTTTAAGCGAGAAAAATGTCGAATTAGAATTTTATAACGATTGCATTTTGTAATGGTTGCATATTATTTAACAACCTCTTTTTAAAAAATGATTAAAACTCTCCGTACTTCACTACGAGTAATTAAGAAGAGAGAAAGAGAGAGACAGATAGAAGATATACTTTTGTTACGATTAGACTGTTAGAAAGATCTTGGCGGTCTTTACTTTTTACATCGATATTCTTCTAAGCTCTTTTTACGACCTTTAATGCAGATAAAATATTAACAAATATTTGTACTCCAGCCGCTCTCCGCCAATTCCTTTCCCCGCGATATCTCCCAACCCCCGCCGCCAAAACACTGGCCAAACGTTTACATTAATAAAGACAATATTTCCCTTAGTCGTTGCTACGAATCTAATTCTTTTTATTATACTTATTTGTACCTACTGATCGAATAATTCTTCGGAATTCTTTAGAAAACGAAATGATCATGAAATCATCATTCGTTACAATTAACATAATGTATTTATTATTCTTTGTAGGACGACAAAATGATAGAAAGGAAAATATGATAAGTGATATAAAATGGATGGGGAAAAAGAAAAACAAAGTGAAATAATTGTAAAAAGAATTAGCAGGTGAAAGAAAAGGATGGACGGAGGAATAAGACGTGGAGAAATCCTGTGTGTGTTCTTTTTTGTCCTTTTTTTTCTTTTTTCTTACAAATTCGCTCCGTACTTCTCGATTAGATCGATGACATAATCCATGGAAGCATGCGTAGGTGGTGGTTGACAGGTGACGACCATACGAAAGAAATTTCCTAGATTTTTAGAAGCCAGGGGCATGTAACTGATCATAAGGGTGCCATCGAGTATCATTCGTTCTTTAATCAATGTTGTAACTTTGTACAATTTTTGCCACCAATCATCGGTCTCCTCCTGGCCGCGCATACTAGGTGGTACATACCTGAAATATTAGATAAATATATACATATATATATATATATATGTATATGTACATATGTAGAACATTGACAAAATCAAAAATTTAAACATTGAGATATTTTTTCTATTCTTTTTTGCCAGGAAAAAATTAATAATGCACATCATATTTTTTTATTCATTTTGCAGATGTCTTTTCTGTATATGTATGTATGCATGTACGTACAATAGTACATGATGAAGATATATAACGAGACGAATATTAGACCTAAGTAGCATGACCTCCTTATCTATCACTCGCTCTCATATGTAGATTATCTCAGCTGTGATATTGGTATCTTGATTCACGTCATTAATATTATCCGCTGTGAAATATACTTAAGATTAAAGTTGACTTGCTTCGAGGGGGGTCATATATATAATTTTTTGTAAGTAAATTCACGTGAATGTCACGTAAGGATCATTTTTTTTTTTTTTTTTATGAAATCAGATGCGTTTTTTGATGCGTCAGTCGACTCATTCTTTATAGTATTAATCTATCTACACATGTCGAATTATTATTAATGTTTTATTAAGATTTAATATTTTAATTTAAATATTACTATGATATCTTACTATAACTTTTACTACATTTTTATACAAAAATATGGCCATCTCTATATCGTTAAATATTTTTCGATCAAGATATCAATATCACGTCTAAACGCCTAGTTTATGTATGTATTTTGAATGAAATTTGTTTATTTGTAAATCTCAAATAATTACCAAAAGCAGATGTTACAGCATTCGTAACTGGGCAAAACGAGCCTATAACCATCCAACAACTTTATTCTTTCCAAAAAATATTCAGCCTCGGACATCGCGATGTCGACCGATTTTCTCAAACCGCTGGTACCTCGTGCCTTCCACATAAGCCAAAATTTCATGGCGTCTACCTGAAATTAATCATCGAATGATTAGTTTATCAACGTGATGTATCGATCTTTCAACAGACCTTTCTACCACATTGAACGCTCTTGTCGCCTGTGTCCCAGGATACGTCGTAAAATTTGTCCTGTTGAAAGAGATACTTAGCACCAGCGCAATTGGTCTTGTGCAACGCTTCCTTACCCTTCGCCAAAAATATAGAACACTGAAGGGGTGCACCGAGCATTTTGTGCGGATTCCAAGCTACCGAATGAGATCTGAAATAAATGGAAGGGTCGATCATGAGACAAGATCATCAGATTAACTCTTAACGGTTTATATTATATATGCATATACATACGTTCTCGGTGTTGAAAAATTGATTAATGACAATTGATAGTATTTTGACAATTTGCTGTTTTTCTTTTTTTTCTTTTTTTCAGAAAGGAAACAAAATAAGTTAAAAAAAGAAAACTAATGATTTTACGTTATTACTTGATGTTTTATTTATATGGAAAAAAAAAAAACAAAAACATTTGGTTACACGTAAGTTTTGTAATTCACGAAAATGCAACCACGTGTCAATCTCTAAACGAAAACGAGCGGTAAAAAAAAAGAAAAAATTTCAAAATACGTGAATCCATCGGTGCCGAGAACGTAACGCGAGTAAATTTAACTTACGTTTGTTAAATAAATTAAATCTAATAAATTAATATATATTTAGCAAATTAATATTAATAAATTAAGTAAAATAAATGAAATTCAATTACGAACAATTCAATTCCACGCAAACGTTCACGATACTTTTCGGAAAGCAATAAAGTTCCACCTAGGCATGCCTGTAAAATGATTTCGTCGATGAGTTTATGACGAGCAATGGATTATATTAGAAAAATTCATTTCCTCGTACAAGTACTAACGTCAACGTGCATCCAAAGGGACTCTTCCTCGCAGATCCTTGCTATTTCTGGCAATGGATCGAAAGCACCCAGAACCGTGGTTCCGCACGTTGCATTAACAAAAAATGGTAATTCCCCATTGGCCCTGGCCTCGTTTATCGCTCTCTTCAAATCGTCCGGTAACATTTTTCCTAACTGATCGGACTTGATCTAGATCGAATAAGAAGAAGAAGAAGAAGAAGAAGAAGAAGAAGAAGAAGGAAAAAAGACGGACGTACGATAGAGTTTGTTCTTTTTCAATGAATTAAATCTTATGAAAGAATATAAAGAAACCTTGTGAACGTGCTCGGTGCCAATACCCAACCAATGAACAGCTTTTAATATAGAATAATGACCTTCTTCGCTGGAAAAGCATGCCAAAGGTGGAAAACCACTGCATCCCATTCTCTTGATTTCAGGTAATATCTTATACCTGGCCATTACCATTGCGTATATGTTGGATAAACTACCACCTGGACATAAAATACCATTGGCCTCTGGTATCGATGGATATCCAACGAGCTTTAAAGATTCCTCTAACACTTCATGTTCCATCAACGTAAATACCGGTGCTACTTCGAATGTATATCTAACAATTCGAAATGAGATTAGACGTGTTAAAATTCAACTATAATGTTTCAATGGAGTACTTACTGGCCCGTATTAAAAATCTCGGTGAGCCAAGAACCGACCATTCCATATTCGTCTACACCCGCGAAAAGTTGATTGTGAAAGTTCGGACTAAATGTTTTCACCGAATATTTGATTATTTGTCGTACGATAATATCGATTTCCTCGGAACTAGCACCGTCCTCCTTTAACGTTAACGATATTATATTCTGCAAATGTAAATATAAATTTTTAATGAAATAACGATATCTCGGAAATAAGTAAAATGGAAAATACGTAACGAGCAAAAATATTCAAATGCGATAGTATTCTGTGTATCAAAGATCATCGGTAAAACGAGATAGAAAAGAGAAATAAAGAGTATGTATTACGAGCGAGTTCATTGAACGAACACGGACAATAATATTATTCCAATTTGAAATTGTAATATTTTACAATTAATTTTCAATCGATAAACGACGTTCATTGATCTATAAATATCTCGAAAAACATATTGCCGGTCGAAAATAAAAACTAATCGAACGTTCGAACGATCGAGAGGATACATTTTTCTTTTTTTTCATTCGTTAAAACTAACTGAAGAGACAAAAACGTAATGAATTTTTACAACTGACCTTATTTTTTAATCGTTAACCAAAATCGTTATCGTAGACAATCGGTATCGAAGACCCATTTCTTCTTACGTTCGTTCGTTCGTTCGTTCGTTCGTTCGATTTTTTACCTCTTCGAAAAGATAATTCTTGATAAAGATTTGATAGATATCGATCCATACGCCTTGCTTACCTTGAGATCCTTCGGATGACGAAAATTAATCACCGATTGATCGCATCTCGTATCGAAGAGCTTTTCTTCTTTGAGAATCCTTAAGAGATCCTCGAGCAATTTGATGGTACCGTTAGAACTACCAGTCTCTGCCATCGTGAAAGTCGTACTGAGTACTGTCGAGTATCTCAAAGCGAGAGAGCCCCATTATTCTTACTAAACATATTTAACGTAGTGTGTGTGTGTGTGTAAGATTTCATTTGTAACGTTTAACGCGCGAAACAGCTGTTGAAAGAGAGAAAAAGCACGAGATAATTAAATGTGCATAATCATTGAAACGCCTCATTACTCGATATCATCCTTCCATTCTTTTTCTTTTTTCTCTCTATCTTCTTTTTCTTCTTCTTCTTTTTCTTACGATTTTATATCTAAATTCGACTTTTTTTTTTATAATTGCCACAGAGATAAATGACGCATATCGTCGGCTTGAACCAAGTGAAAGGTATTTCCAATGATTTTACGTCTCCGACTCGTCTAATTCTTCCAATTATTCTCGTTATTATTACACTTTAATCGTTTTCAAACACTTCTTTGGTTATTATATTTTATTAATACAGTATAATTTAGAAAAGAAATAATTTCTATGTAACAAATGATACGAACGTTTTCGATAAATATAGAAAATAATTGAACGTCTCGATTACATTTGGGTTTGTTTGCAAATATTTACTGACGATTTATTTCAAATATCGATCTGAATAAATATCTCTAACGACTGAACGAAAAGAAATTCATTCTCATTGACGAGCTTGAATTAAATAAAAAAGATTATATTTAAGATCAAACGATGAAACAGTTAGTAGTAGTTTTTTTTTCATTTGTTTTTGTTTTTTAATCAAATTATTAAAACAATATCCAATAACAATCTTAATGAAATTATTAATATGATATCGTAAATGAAACAAATTATCTGGCAAAAAAATAAATGAGGCAGCAAAAAACTCTCCTTTTTTTTCCCTCCTTACACAACCGGTTTATTACCTTCGAGGAACAAGCCTGTATAGGATTCTTCAGTTGAGATAACCCTTTTTATTCTGTATATAAAACGAGCCTTGAAAAATATTGGATGACTCTTTGTAAACGATAGCTTTACCATATATGTAGCACAATACTATTGCACAATATTATATTGGCCAGTTGGGAACGGGCATTGACAATATCATTCGTTCGTTATGCGCATGCGTGACAATTCTCTCAATAAAAGAGAGTGGGGATGCTAAATTTCATGCTGAAACTGGCTAAAACTCGCTAGTTGAAGGTTGAAGCAGTAAGAAATTTATCAATGTTATTTATTTGATCAGTATTATTTTTACTAATTGGCGCAACAAGTTTTTTTGTAAAATGAATGCACATTATACAGTTCGATATTACTAAACAACGTTCTTTTTGTAAGTGATAAGTGTTAGAAGAAAAAAACATATTGAGGGAAATGTTCTTCTGCTTTTTTCTTCTTTTTACGTAATTACGTAATAAGGCATATCATATTCTCTGTATCTTTAATATTAGTTAAGAAATCATCTTGAAATGTGATCTTTTTAATGGAATGCTGCATACGTTTTTATGTCGTACGAAATCGTACATCAAAGTTCAATTGCACGACGATGATCTTCAGGGTCAAAAATTTCACCTTCGGAAAAGCTATCCGATTTTTTATTCGAGACAGTAACAAACACATAAAAGACTCACAATAATTTTTACAGTTTCTTTTATATTCTGACGAGAGCAAACTAATGTTCTTGACATTTAAATTTATTGGCGCCACTGTTAGTCCAATAAAAATCAATTACATCGATTGACCAATTAGCGTATTAGAATCAATTCTCAAATATGACCATATTATATACAGCAGAATAGTTTATTTATACTGTTTTATTTTGTGTATTTATTTTCAATCAGGCTATTTACAGCAGAAATACGTATATATATATCTTGTATCTACATTAAGTTTAAAGATATTATATTTTTTGAACATTTTATTATTTATCCGCCAGATGGCGCCCGCATCGATTTATATTATTTTGTAACGAACTTGTCCATCTCATGAAGATTCTAGATATATGTTTTATAAGTAGCGGGAGAACGGTTTACAAAAGTTTAAGAATGAAGTTTTATGAATTTTATGTAGTGTATTTTATAAATGAATGTATTACTGTATTAATTATCGAATAATGGAAAGTTCAAGTACTTTACCTGGTGCCAGTCGAGTAACATTGCAGACACCGTATAGGACACCTAGATTAAAATTTAGTTTAGAACAAGAGTTGCTAACCTCAAATGAAGAAAGTGACACGAAAACATTAAAAGGTACAGTAACTAGAAAAATGTACTTTCATTTATTTATTTATTTGTTCTTTACTTTTATAATCATATATCTATAATAAATTTAACATTTTCACACTAGTTTCATATTTTAGAAATAATATCTTTAACTTGGAATATTTATGGAGTATCAGCATTATTTGGATTTCAATATAATGATAAAACTATTCTTAAGTTATATGGAAAACGATTGAGGGAAGAAATAGCAACTAATTTGTCACAAGAGAATGTTGCATATGATGCACATTTGTCTATTATAGAAAATACAATATCAGATACTATGCGTCTACCTCTGCTGAAGGTTTAAATTTTATTCATTATGTCTTTATGTTCATTTACCTCTTATCCTTATCTTAATATTATATGGAAACCAGAGAATTAGGCGTAATGATGCTAAAATCAAACGATAAAGATTTATAAATTGATTTTAGGTTGAAGTTTATGCAAAAAAACTTGATCAAGAGAATAATGTAGAAAAGTGTATTTATATAGGATTTTTTCTATCATTGAAAACAAATAATGATTTAAAAGCAGACAATTCTGTCAAATTGCCTTTGTTATTGTGCCGTGGTACTCGTACCTGTATGAATGTTGTACATTCCACATTTAATCGTATGTTTGACTGTCTTATTATTGCATTACCTATCGAACAAGACGATTTGATGTGGCTACTTCCAATTATAATTTTACCTACTAGCGAAGAAAAATATCCAAACGATACTGAGGAAGTTCGATTGGAATATCTAGTCCCTGGATTATCTACTACAAACACAATTACTGCTAAATTTAGTACCTTAGATCTAATCAAAATTTTAAATGCGTAAGTTTCAGTATTAAAAAAGCTGTAATTATTATAATTATATATATATATATGTATAACTGTACATCATAAATTAATTCGCAGAATAATGGAAAGTCAAAATAATGAAACGCAGATAGTAATGAACCTAACTATTGAACACATACAAAGGTTTCGCGAGTGTCTACAGGTTCAAATGAAAAAAATTGCTGGATTAGAATTAGGACTATGCACTTTACACAGAATCAGTTTACCTAGAGGAACTTTAATGGACAACAAGGTTTGTTGTTAATTATAAGTAAATTTTTAAATGTACTATTATCTAAAGTAATAGAATTAAAGTTAAAATTATTATTTATTCATTTATTATTATTATTATTATTATTATTGTTGTTGTTGTTGTTGTTGTTGTTGTTTAGATGAAGATAATGGATCCAGAAATTATGAAGCGTGTTTTATTATACATGACAGAAAAATCTTTAGACATGTTACATGCATTATTTTTATAATTAGTCATAATATATTTAAAATATTTTTATTTCTTTTTATTAGATTAATTATATATTTATTACATAGATAATAAATTTGTTATGGATGAAATATAATTTAGTTATATTAAATTGAAACAGTAATTACTCATATTTATATTGTACATCTCTTCAGTCAGAAGATCGTCTACTGTACGTAAGGCCAAATTTATGTTACTTCAACATCCTCATCCACAATTTCCATCTATTATATAAAAGAAATGCACGTATCATTGGATAAAATATAATATATATATATATATGAATAATTATAATGAATTTTTTTATACCCTTAATAATGATTCAATTTCATTATTGATATTTAGCAATTTAATGTTTTTCAAACTTACATTATTTGTCAAAGCAGTCCCTTCCTCCTTATGCTTCCTTGCTTTGAAATTTAACAAATAATGCCTGATGTCTATGTAATCATCAGGTTTTTCATCAAAAGGAGGTGGTAAAGATATTCCAAGTATTTCAGGTAACATAAAAGTCTTCAACCATGTCACAAGAGGTGTGTGACCCCGAGTGTATAATCCATCACGATGATAAAATAATAATCCGTCCAAAGGTGCTAACGCAGATAAATTTGCTAAACCTGATTCTAGATTGGAATCAAAATATATACGTGGTAAAAGTAAAATAGGATAAGTATTGTTAAAGATGCCACCTTCTTGTAATTCTTTTTTTTCTTGAAATTTCGATTTCAACCAAAAGAATCGAAATTCTGTCTGAAATGTAAAATATCATTAAAAAGAAATGTTCAACTCCTTATATCGATGATATAAACTAAATATATATATATATATATTACATCACAATTTAAAAGGGATTGATTAGACCATGCCAGTACGTCCAAGACAAAATATGTTTTTTCTTTTTCCATCCATATACAATCCAAAATAGTACAACGACTGTGATGTTCATTGGAATTTCCTCCAGGCAGCACAGATTGAAATTTTCCTAACCTATTGCCACGTCTGTTAAAAACCTTTGTTGTATTCTATCAAAATAATTGTAATATTTTTATTTTCAATAATACCATTATTTAGCTATATAATGTAAGTATATATGTTATATTATATACTTTGCGTGCAACTATTAAAGTCCTTTTGCCTTGAGGACAAGGCACTATAATCCATTTTTCTAAAATATCCTGAGGCGCTTCGAACATCCATTCTGACAGCATAAATTGATTGGCATAATGTTTGCATCGTTCATACTTTTTCCAAGGTTTGATATTATATTCAATTTCCATTTCTTCTTCGTCTTCATTGTCAGACTTAAAGATTTCCAATATTTCTCGTCCGGCATTAAATGTGACATCTCTATTTCTATATAAATATAATTCCTTTGATTATCGAGAATGATATATATTTATATAATATTTTCCATTCTCAATGATTTCTTTCAATTACTTCTATCTGTAATATATCTTCTAACTTATGGTACTCACCTTTTTTGAATTTCTAAAAGTCTTTGCCTTCTTAATTCCTGAGGGCTGTCAATATAATCAACATCTAGTTTATAATTATCTTTTTTAATAGGTTTCTTGTAAAATACTGATCGAGCATTTTTACACTGTTTCTCCTCAATATTTCTAATGTTGTTATCTGTCATATCGTCACGTTTTAAAATTCTTACTTTATACCATTAAAAATATTGTTTATACAGTAAAATACTTTATAACCTATAACTACATCACATTGATGAAAAGTCGTTCGTTCTTCATATGTACAATTGTTATTCCTACTAAAGAAATATTTTTAATAAGTATTATCACTCTTTCTGTTTTTTCATTGAACAATTTAATTTATAAACATCTAAATAAATATATAACTACAATACCTTCTTACATCAGAGAATCATTGATTATTATATGGGAGGAAATTTTTTTTGACTGAAACGCCCTCTTATGGATCAATGATTTTTTCTTTTTTTTTTTTTTGCTTTGTCTTTATTATTATTATTATTATGAAACAATTTCTGACTTGTTCCTTATTTTCTCTTGAAAAACAAAAACGAAAGAGGAAAATATATATATATATATATATATATATAGTCACCATAATTATAAATTTTGTTTAACCAAAAAAAAACATTGAATTATCAAAAAAATTTGTATCGCTAAGGGTAAATGTAATTACAGGTAAATAAAAAATTGATGTATTTAAAATAGTTAACAGAAATACCGACGTACAACAAGACAGTATATAACTTCTAAAACGTGCTTATCAACATTGCACATTTAGTATCAACGATGAGAAAAAAAAATATATATATATATACATATTTGTTGACGTTGAAAGGATGACAAATTAACGTTGAACAATCAATCCGATCAATGTGCATTTGTTGATGATAACACATAAAAAGATCGTTTTAATTAATTTGCTCGAGACGATGTAATATATTTTTATTTCCCACCGACTATTGTAAATATCATTTTAATTTTCAACTTCTACAAAGAAATTTAAAATTGCATTCCGATCTTAATTTAAAGATCGTAGTTTAAATAACATCGATTATTTTCATTGAAAAAAAAAAAAAGAAAAAATACGTTTTCACGTTTCAAACACTTTTGTCGGACATATTACTTCTGATGCTTCTGTTACTGTCCCTCCTCTGTGCACCACGAGCTTGTCTCGTGGTACGAACGGTCGTAGGTAATTCTCTGTCGCTACCTACTCTTCTCAAACTCGTGTCTCTGTCGATCCGAGATTTGCTATTTTTTTGTACTGGACCACGTATATTCGTGTATACGACATAAACCGCTAGAATACCAACGAAGAACATGGCAACGCCCACGCCGCTGACCGTACCGACCTATTTATTAAAAGAAGAAAAATGAAAAATCAATTTTTACGAGGGAGCTAAAGAAAATGACAAATTTTCTTTTCTCTCTTTTTTCTTTTGTTCAAATTTTCAATCACTTACCATGGTCCACCATTCGCTATCGTCCATTTCAGATACAAGAATGTGAGTCGTGTCGTGTTCACTCTCGTGTAACATTTTCATTTCCTTTGTCGCACATCCAGAACGAGTACCTTTTTCCTCCGATACGATTTTCTCAAATGCATCGGGTATATCGTCATTCTTTCCATCGTCGTCGTCGTCGTCATCATCATCATCATCATCTTCCTCTTCCCATTGAATTTTCACCGAATTCTTTTTCACGATCACGTTGCCAAGATTTTCTAATTTGGAACCTTTCATTTTTATCAAGAGATCAAGAGACTGCGGAGCATTCTGCGATTCAATATTATAAGATATCAATACGTTCGACAGAATGTTGTTCCAATCTACGGAGTTCATTGGGTTCTTGCATTTTTTCTTTTTGCTAAAAATAACAACGTTATTACCGGTAAAAAAAAAAAAAATAAAGAATTGTAATGACACACCGTCATTCGATGCAATAAAAATGAATTGGATCTATGTATTTACCAAACCAAATCGATTGCCTTAATATAAATTTCAATCGCATTTTCGAGCCATCTTACTTCTCTTAACGCTTCGGCGTCATATTTATCGATACCATCTCCTCCAGGCCACCACTTTGATTTATCGACTCTTCCTTCGAGTCCAGGTAATACTTCTCTTTATGTAACGAACCGTAACGTTTATTACAATGTTTCAATATGCATGCATGCTTGATTATAAATTAAGGATCAAGTTGAATATCTCGTTTGTTAGGGACAACAACAATTTTGTGATTATGGAAAAATAAAATCTTACGATAAGTTTAATCACCACCTTATTAAGATTATTAATTGAAAACAAAAGACTTTAAAGTCAATTTATAATAATAATAATAAAAAAAGAAAATAGCTTAATTAATTCAATAAATTGTTTCAAGTATTCAGGACTATCTTGTTATGCACGATCGACTTGTAATAGTATTTCTTTGACACATTTTCTTAATGGATCTTTTGTTTTCCTATTGCACGTGACAAAGGAAATATTCAACTAGCCGTTAATTTATAATCAACCTGATATACGACGTTAGAAATGTAAAGATTTATTACCTCGAATCTTCCAAAAGCAATATGGTGTTAGACGTATCAATGGCATTCAAATGTTCATCGAGATTTCCTTCGCTAACAATAAGAACAGTTGCATTTACGAGTTTATTAAAAAATCGTTTGTCGGGTTGTCCAATATGTACAACGTGGGACGTGTAGCCTGAAGGAATGATATTTAATAACATTTATAGATAAAGGAATATAAAATAATGTGTAAATAAAAATCTCTTGGAAATAATCAATTACTTTTTTCAAGAACGAAATTTATTTTACCTTCATTTTTGTCGTCGTCGTCGTCGTCGTCGTCGTCGTCGTCATCGTCGTGAACAAGAACGCACAAGTTTTTCTCAATAGCCGCCATAGTTAATTTCTTAGCGATATTTTGAACATCGTCGTCTAATTCTTCTTCAACGTTAGCAACCAACGTGAACGATTTCCATTTCAACAATTGAACGACTTTCAAAACTCCCTATAAATAATAATTAATTATATTTCTATTAGATCGCAAGATCATTATCAAAATTTTTGACTCATTACCTCGACCAAATAGGAATCAGATTCGTAAACGAGTTGATGAAGATATGGAGCGTTAGATGCTTTTCTAACAATGTGTGGTATCTTTAATATAGATGTTACTTTGTGAACAGCTTCGGCATTGATTGTAGTATCGGGACCGATTATACCTGTAAGTTAAATAAGACGGGGGAGAGGAGAAGGAAACAAAAAATTAAAGGAATGATCGGGTATACAATGTGTCATCAAAATTATTGAAAAATATTCGATCATTTCACGTTTATATCATTTCGATCAGGTAAGAAATATTTACCCAAATAATGAGGCGCTTGCAAACAATTAACATCCGCTGAAACTAAAGCTTTCATAGCTGCTTTCAATGCACCAGTGATACTATCGCACGTATCGAAAACATCTATTTCTGTAATCGCAAGATCGTATCGCATCATTTCATATCTTTAACAAGTTATAGCAATTCTAAGATTACCTATGTCCATGGTATTGGATTTATTGTTATGAATTTCCGTCAATAATTTGGCTGCCTCGTAAAGCAAAACACCTTTCGTAGATATTTTTTTACAGGGTGCGTCATCGTGAATGCTTGTCAATAAGGAAATGTGCCCTCGAGATTCACATTCCGTACGCACTCCACAAGTGCATGCTGCAATGATCGCGCAAATGAGACCCCATTGTCGAAATTTTTCCATTATCTTATTTCTTTCCTATTTCTTTTTTCCTCGATCGATTACTTTCTCTCGTTAAATAACGCGTAAAAAAAATTCTTCTTTCGTTTCTTCCACTATTCCTTCTTTGCTCTTCTTCTCTTTTATTCGAACACTAAACTTTCACTTACACGCTTTATCATATTCTATTTTTTATTATTACTCGTACGATACGAGTTTATTCAAAATAATAAAGAATATTATTTACGTTCGATCGAATCTTACGCGTTTGATTAACGATATTTCAAAGTAGTTGATCGAAATTCGTTATATTCGAAGACTGGGGTCTCTCTTCCGAGTGCAGACCTTGGTATTGAAAAATGCTAGCTTTATAAGGAAGCCGTGACATGTATTATGCGAATTTCTAAGGTTTTATCTATGTATTTCGCAAACCAGGCGCTCTCAAAGCAAGCCTTTTTTTTCATCGAGTCAAAGATTGAATTTCATACTTCGATTATACGACATTTTAGACAAATCTTCATTTTCGTGAAAGATTTTTATTACGAACGAATCAATTTCGTACGAATCACGGAAAACAAATTCTTCGAAATCTTTCGTATGTGAATGTCCTTCCAAAGAAAAAATCATACAGCCCGAATTATACGAATTAGAATGTACTATTTTAACAAAATAATTTATCGCGATATTTTTGTATACTCGTAAAAACAACCACCGTGAGAACCACCTTTAATAATCTTTAAGCTTCTTATCGTGGTATATCGATTGTCAGATGACATATATTTAATACTCATTGCACAACTAACCCTTGCATAACTATCGTATTATTTGTTAAATCTGGTTGATGTGTAAAATTCGTTAGTAACACTGCTTAATGATATTATTACAGGAAACTTTTATCGTTAAATATTTGACAAATAATCGTAATTAATAATTGATAATCCTTTTATAGTTCCTTATTGTTACGAATTACTTCGCGTATTTATGAAAGTTATTTTAATTTAGTCTTACGTAGACACGAGAAGATAGATAGACAATTTAAAACTGTCTATACAGGGCGTAAATTCATAAATGTAAGATATGTTGCGACTGATTGAAATTATAAGATAATTCAATAAGAGTAATTTGCACGTGTCCGAGTCGCAGGTGTAAAGAGCACGTAAACTTTTTTTTTTACTCGTGACCTCCTCGTGAGATGTAAAGATCAACGTGGTTTTGTTTTTAAACGGTTACCAATATTTATTTTTTTACATATTTATGTAAAAAATGGGTACTATGCATCGTTAGATAATCAGCATCAAATATTGTATAGGTATTGCCAAGATTCTATAGCGTAATTGTATGGATGAAAGTATACCTGTAACATACTTTAAAGAGAAAGGACCATAACCATTTATGGTGCAGTAGTTCTACCACGCAAGGGTGACTTATATGTTAACAATGTTACGTCAATATTATACACATAGATCACTTTGATTTTAGGAATCTCTCGCATCGAGGAAAATTGTATTACATAATAATACGTACCTTCAAACAATATTTTGAAAAAAATTACACATTTTACAATGATTTATCAGTATTTTGCTTTCTCTCTCTTTCTCTCTCTCTTTTTTATGGTACTCAATAACGTGTAAAAAATTACAAATTTTACAAAATTGATTTATCAAAAGTCCTCTCTCTTTTAATCTTTCTCTCTTTCAGAAATGTGGCGCATAAAAAAAGAGGAAATGGATTCGACGAAACGAAATGGATTAACTCCAACGAAAAGGCAAAAATCTATCATTATTCTGTCACCATGTAAATGCCGTTAATCTATTCTCCGTGGTTCAAAGAAAAAGAAATACTTGTATACGCGTATGTCTGGCTATGGACCAACAATAACACAGAAGAACGACTTTTAACAGAAAGCTAGAACGCTTTTTTCGTTTCCGATTTTCTTTAGTACGAAAACAAGCTCGCCTTATACATATACACGTATGTATATCCATTTGTCTGTCAAACTTTTCGATAAATCATCGATGAATGTACCTAAATGTACTACATATATATATTTGTGCGTATATATATATATATATATATATCCAAACGTGAGAAGCTTGAAGAAAGTATTTTTAAAACTTCAATAATGCTAGAACCATGAATTTTATTCGTTTGCCGTATAGTTTCGCATGATTCGCAAAAGATAAAGATTTCCTGGTAATATATAAACCTGTTCACGAAAGGATAGATAATATTTGACCAACTACCAATCTTTATCATAATGTTTGGTCTGCTATGCGGTATATAAAAATCATCGAAATAAGGAGGTTTATAGTCACGAATGACGTCATCGGTTATCTTTCTAAAAAAGCGCAAATATTATTGAGAAAAAAAGTTACAACAACGTTATATCATTTTACATTAAATTCATTGTTTAATTGCGAATATTATGTAGATAATCGACAATGAAGATCTTTCCGCGTTGAAAATAGTCTATTTGTGTATCGAGAGAAAAAATGAAAATATAATTCATTGAAACGATATAGGGGTAATTTTATGACTACTTTGAGGTCTAATTTTGGCACAACTAAAGAGTAGGAGGAATACCGAGTCATCGTTGATCAATTTTTTGTTTATTATCTAGCTGTATAGCTTGTTTAAAATAGTCGTGACGTTCACTTAACATTCCTTTTCATTATTCAGATTTTGCAACGCAAATTTGACTTTTTACTAATCAAATTTACCCTTTTGCGAATTAATGAAACGCAAAGAATGAAAACTTTGCGATGAATGAATCATCCGAAGAAGTAAATAAATGTTAAGATCACTATCACCTTACAATTAGTTTTCGTTGCGTAACATGATTATTTTCTTATGTATCTACAGTGATTTGAATAACAAATACTTTGGTACGTAGTGTAAATAAACAAGCTAATCGAAGGTAGAGTTCAGCTGTAACTCCTCCTCTTGTCTCTTCCTATCGTTTAACAAGGATATACTCGAAAAAAAAAAAAAAAACACTGGTATGGGAGAGTGGCTGGTAAGCACGCGTCGTATAAAAAGCGCATGCTCGAAAGAAAAGGAGAACGCCGTTTGAGAGTTTGTGGCGGGCCGAGTATTCCCATTCAGTTTATCGGTACAATTTGTAAGCCACACTTCGCGTTTCTGACATAACACCCTGTTTACGGTACGATTTCGTCACGAGTCATTGCATCGATATGACGATTGTCTCTTTATTATCTTTGATAGTAAACTGAGAAATTTTCTAAGGAAAATACAAAAAATTAAAAAGAATGAACGTTTAGTGAAAATAAATGCGACGGAAGGAAATGAATAAAGTCAAACGTAAACGTTTGATTTCGAGATTGTTGGAAGAAACCAATGGCATATAACAACCGAGAGAGAAAGATAAGTAAAGCTCTCTGGGCGTGAATGATATCGAGGTATCTAAAAGTACAACCATCGATTCGTAAGGTGAAAAACGACGGGACGGGAGTGAACTTAATCGTCTGTGATGATCGACACGAAGAAGCTATCTCTCTCGCACCGTGAACACCTTTTTCATTTTATAGTTACACTAGGGAGAACTCGATCTCCATCGTAGATTACTCTTATCCATTATTATTTCGTCCTTTTCCGATTGAAATAAATTAATTATCTCGGTTGTTTTTCGTTTTTTTTTTGCTCTTTATTATTTTATAATTATTCGATCAACTCGCAAATGTAAACGATTTCGATTGGCATCGAAATTCAAATCGATTCGTTATATATGGGAAGTTAATCGATGTTAATGAGACGTGCCAAGGTAACCGGGGGAGCTTCGAGGACTCGCAGAGAAGTGAAAAGAAAATCTGAGAAAAAGAATTCTGAAGAGATAATAATAATCGGCATTGGGCTTATCGATCTAACCCGAGAGGATATCGCGAGAGAGTCGACAGCTATTGAGTTACGGGAAGCAGTTTATAATGTCACTTAACACTCCTGTCTTGATGCAAGCGGTGGTTACTTCAAGATCGAGACGAGCTCTACCGTATGTCATCACGGTTCGCACCTTAACTTTATTTTCTCGTTGGGATTACATCGGCCTGCTCGTTAACCGTTCTAAATTTCTCGACACTTGTGTACCATCGTATTTAGAAATAACACGAACTAAAAACATATCCATGAGCGTAATGAATTTCAATTGTTAATTATTAAGTAAATTAATAGCGTTATCAACGATATATGTCGAAGTGTATCGGAAGATGGAACGAAAACAAAGAAAAAAACAAGCTAAACATATAACGTCGTCCTTTTTCATTCGACTATCGTCGAATGAATTAAAGTGATTGATCGTTCGATCGTTCAATTGGATATTACAGTCGTATTTTGTATACGACTCGTTAATAACTTCGAATTTTCATTAACGCACGTACGAATAATAATAAGATAGGCGCAATGAAAATTTTTTAAACCGGGGGATAGGTGAATATGCAAGACGCGCCCGTATTGCATGGGGCATAAGAAATTCTTCGCCGAGGACGAAAAAAAGAAAGGAGAAAGAGAAAAGAAAAAAGGAGAGGAAGGAAAGAAGAAACGTGAAAAGAAGGGAAAGGTTTGAGAATTTTTCTCGCGAGAAGAGATGCTTTCTACGATGTCGAGCGTCGCACTTGAATTAAATTCGTCATTTTATACGACTGCCATTAGAAATGCCGCTTTGGATGGATTTTCAGGTAAATTTTTAAACAAAGTAAAAAGGAACAAAAGAAAAAATAGATCCATCTGCGTACGTATGCTTTAATAGAAATCCAAGTTTCACCTTTAGTTTCAGTGATTGAACCTAAAAATGCAACTTCGACGCTTTACATGTTACCTATGTATATTAGGACAACGTCTATGGTGATTTGCATAATCGTCATGGCACTTGGTATAATAGGAAATCTCATGGTAATTATTTCGACATTAACGTTAACGTTAATTCGTAATTTATATATCTACAGGGCGGATGAAATACTCGATGAAGGATTAATTGATTTTTAAAAATCATTTTAGACCCCAGTTAGGGACTTCTTGTCCATCCTTTACAATATCCATTACATTTTGTATGAAATTAATAGGTACCTTTGGTCGTTCTACGAGGCAAAGACATGAGAAACAGCACCAATATTTTTCTCGTAAATTTGAGTGTGGCCGATTTGTTCGTCCTTTTAATATGCACGCCGACCGTATTGGTGGAAGTCAATTCTGGTCCTCAGGTTTGGCCACTCGGTGAACACATGTGTGAGTACAATTTTTTTTTCAAACCCACGATATATATTTACCTTTACCATACTATTATCGTCTTCCCATCATTCGCACAACGAAGAAAGACGAGATGAAGGCGCATTGACATCGATGATATGTCGGTCAACAATTCCAAAAATATCAAACGCCGCACATTTTCTCCCCGAAGCTGTCATTGTTACCTTGGAGTTGGATAAAACCATATGTCGTTGTTCCCAGTTAAAAGAGTCTCAGAAATGTAAAGAGGAACAATCGATAGTTCGAAAGACATAATTACTATCATAGAAAATGCCATTTTGATTGCATATGATATATAGAATTCAATCGTCGAAAATTAACCTATTATTTTTAATAGTTCATTGGAATTATACGATAAAATGTATTTGGATATATCGAAGCACTTTTGAAGCATGTTGTCCTTTTATGCATTAAATTTGTAAAGGTTTCGGTATACGATTTATGGAAAAGATAATGCACCAAGGTGGATGCCATCCAAGAAACATTTTAAGATATAAAATCTCGTTAGTTAGCCGTAGAGCACTCGGAGTACTCGGATTTCATGGTAACAGTCGGTAAATTTTCCAAAGAAGAGCTTGGCGCAATGTCTATATATGCAACTTGTGTATACGTCCTCTTTTTATTCTATATACCTGTCGATAGACCAAATGGTTTTTATCAAATCACATAAAATAACGCAACAGTTGAATAGACACGTATTCCACACGTGACAAATCAAACATATCGCGATTTTATTCTTTAAGCCAATTATTACTTTGACTACATTTAATTAAACTTTATCCATTTATTTATTTACTCCTTTTCTTATATATATATATATTTTTTTTTTTTTCATAAGTCAAATTTTTTAATTTAATCGTTCGAGTTTAATCAGATATCCATAAAATCCACCATAAGTTTATTCGTCACTTCTGTTTATTCTCCTCTGTCGAAGTGTCTTCTCGACATTCCTCTCATTTTTTCTGGGTCTTCGCATCGACATACCGTTTATTGCAACCTAAGACATTCCTAAGTGCGATCCGGATGGGATCCATTAGAAGTGAAAGTGTAACTCAGACATATACACATGCACGCACTAAGACGAAATCGATTCTGTCGTTTCTAACGAGTAAAGAAAAATCCTATCTTATCCGTCGGAAAATTCTATTCTTATTTGCTTTTGGATTTTTTTTTTAACCAAATAATTTGCTCTATCAATTATCCGATAGGATGATTATTTAATCCTCAGCTATTAAGCACGTTCATTTGCTTATATCAAAGTGTAATTAATTCCACGAGATAAGAAGTGAATTGATTGAAAAGTTTCTTTTTTAAATTTCTTATAAAATATATATTCAAAGATAAATAATAGTAAAATGTATTATTATCAATGATAATTTATTTTAAATATAAAGATGAATTAATCACACTGATCGAGTGTTTTGCTAGTAAAATTTAGAAAAAAAGAACAAGACAAATTCAAATAATGAACGGCTAAATTATAATATTTGTCGAAATTGGATGTAAAAATAATTTCAACTGTATTTACTTATGTATAATGAATTCTCGAAAAACAAAAAAGAAAGAAAGGAAATCATAAAATTCGTGGAAGTTCCTTCATTGTAATAGTTTAAACATTTTTACGAGTATCATTCTCACGACGGTAAAGTTCCGGGAAGATTTTCATCGTGATTAGTGTCATCGGGCATGATGCCAAGTCTACTTTTTTCTAAATCGCACGCATTTCCGAGATAGTAGCAGCTGTCGTTGTATTCTCAAAACTTTTTCCCAAATGTCGTCCAATGGCAAGACACTTATCGGGTCGCGATATTCGACACTTGTAAAAAGTTTCAAAGTGAAGAATATTGCCAATAAGCCTATAGTGTTGTAGTTAAAAAAAAAAGAGAGAAAGAGAGAGAGAGAGAGAGAGAGAAAATAGTAAAGAACAGAAGGACACTACCGCGTGCAATAAATTTGAAAAATCTATTTATTCGGAAAAAAATCGTGTCCAAACTCAAACATTTTGTTTTATTAATTAGCCCGTAAAAATGACGTTCAAATTCGTATAGTCGAGCTGTTCTTTCGACAGTATTTTAAATTTAGCACGACGTTGCATCTCTTAATTTTCTTCACGCATTTCGCTCGTAGCCCTCGTTTTTGCATTCAACTCCGCTCTTCGGTAAATCACATTTAACCATTTGTTCTCTTTTGCTACCCACCGAGTTGTTCGACAAATTTTCGCAGTAGAGATTCCATTAAGAGATCACACATTACTACTATGAAACGCGAGGAGAACGATTTGTTAATTTCATCTGCTAAAATTTCTTTTTCTTTCTTTCTCTTTTCTCCATTTTATTGCTTTTTTTTTTCTTTTTTTTTTTATTTCTCTTTATTACTCGTCTCTGATTTATTCCGCATAAAAGGAAATTTCAGAAAACGTCCAATATTTCGCTTTAACTTTTTATTTTAGCTTTGTTTGATCATATCAAGCGGAAGTATACGCATGAAAACTTATTCAATTGGAACATACTGATCGTTAACCAAGAACGAAAGATATTACATATTTCGTCGACATAACAAAAATTCAAATACGAATCAATAAACACTCCAAACTTTAGTTTCCAACCAGTCCACTTACCATTTCTTTTTATAGATAAACGTAAAGGCACGAGATTTCTCGATCGTACGGTTAGCTAAGACTGCGCGATGCGTTAAAACAAGCACCGCGAATTTTGTTACTCCCTTTTTATACAGTCGACGTACTCCCGTAACGATGCCAAAAATATAAAAGATTATGCACGTTTTAACGATTATACTCGTTATATCTACTACTCCTGATAAAATACTTTTCAAAAATACGAATTTGCCATCTCTCTCTTTCTCTCTCTTTTTGTCTTGAAGAAAAAAAGAAAAAATTATTTCCAGGAGGATCCAGGACAAAAAAAAAGGAAATGTCGATGATTCTGAAGAATTATCTTTTAAAAGAGGAGAGAGACAGAGCTTACTTGCAAGTATTCAAAGAGAAAAAAAAAGAAAAGAAAAACAAAGATTCTTAAACGCCCCCATATGAGTACATGTGTAACAATCAGTGATTAGAGGTGCTACGTATAGGTGAAGTAACCCAAATAGATAATGAGAAAGCAAAGCGGGTTCTATCGTTGTTGGTGCTAGCGTATAATAATGCAATCTTGTCCTTTCTGATAACGAGCAAAATTTAATGAATGCGACGTATAACGGAAAGAAAAAAGGAGAAAAAAATAAGAAAACGAAGAAGAAGAAAAAGAAAAAGAGAAGGAGGAGTTTGCGTAGGACTATTTATTATTATTGTCCACTCGTAGGACTGCAAGAAAATGTCAATTTGAAATTTAATCATTTATTAGGGAAGAACGTACGTGTCCGTACGTTCATATGCGCGCGCGCGCGCGCGTATATGTTTCCTTTCGCTTCTCTCTCTCTCTCTCTCTCTCTCTCTGTGTATATATATGTATATACATATATGTATGTGTGTGTGTGTGTATGTATTACTGACACAATCATAAAGTTATCAGAAGGAAAATCACGTAGGTCCGGTACTATTAATCGCGTTCTCTACTCTGACACTCGATTCCATTACGCTCGATTCCAGGAACCTCAACGTAATTAAATTTGCTCCTTTGTCGTCATCACCGAGTCATCGTTTCACGAATGAAACAGACGTAAGACGTAATAACAATCATAAATAGCTTTAATTCCCTACGTGAATCTTTTTAAATGAGAAAATTCTAGTATTTAGATATATACATACATACGTAAAGAACAAAGTTCTCCGATGAGATTGTTTTCTCTTTCTTCCTTTTTTCTTTCTTTTTCTTTTCTTATTTTCATCGTGCCTCGTTGTTAAAAATTAATAAGGAAAGAAAAAAGAAAATAAAAAAAAAATATATATATATATATATATATATATATATAGGTTCGAAAGAAGTTGGATAAAGTTGCTCTAGACATTGAAGTGTCCTTGAAACACCGGAGGTTCTAACATCGCGAGAGCAAGGCTAGGGCAAGATAGAGAACAAAAAGAGAGAAAAAGAGAGAGAGAGAGAAAGAGAGGCACTCGTTTTATACAATGGAACTACGTATACAAGGTAGAACTTGTTACTGGATAGGGTTGATGGAGGTTCACGGGGATGGAAACGAGTAGGTGAACTTCTACTCCCCGTCGCGAATTACCGTTGCTCTTAGCCAATACGCTGTTGGAGCATTTAATGCTACGGGCTGGCATAGCGCCTTCTCTGTCCAACCGGTTTCCTTCCAATATCTCTTTAACCTTCGTGGCAGGAAATACGATAAAAAAGCGCCATGTTCTCTTTCTGTTTTTTTTTCTCTTTTTTCACTCTCTCTCTCTCTCTCCCTCTCCTTAAATTTTCACTGTCCATATTCATTTTCTAAGAAAACTTTGAAATTCAAACTCTCAGAGCTCCGAATTATTCGACTTCTTTGTTAACGCTGAAAAACCAAAAAAAAGAGAGAGAGAGAGAAATCTTATCGAATAGATATTCTAGAGTACATTTCAACAGACAAACATCGGCAATATTCCAATTTCAAAGTAGCCCGAGCAAATTATAATATTTCCATTCTGTCCTCTTGTATTATGGAAAGGAACCAAAGTGATCCTGACTATGAGAAGACTTCGCCAGGTTAGATAGAAGGTATAGAAGATATAAGGATGCTCTGCATGACTCGGAGTTGATAGAAAAACCAGAAACGAAAATTGGTAAAGGGAGGTCTAACCATCTTTGAGGTTGGGTACTCTCTTTCGTCGTCTTTCTGATCACTCTCGAGAGCATCTTTTGACAGAGTAAAATCTATCCGACGAAAATTTGCTTTTATTTTTCGAGTTATATATATATATATATATATATATATATATATATATATATATATATATAAAGAACAATAGAACAAATTCTCTGATAAAGTTTTCTATAACGATAAATCTATCTCTTCAGTGAGAGAATTTTCCGAAAATATTTGATTGAACAATACGACGTGGGAAAAGGGGATGAATGCATCGTATGCCGGCGCCGTTAGAAATCGATCGTGGAAAACAAATCTCAACGCTTAAGCGACCATGTTAAAAGGGATAAAACCATCGCCGAGAAGTATCCCAACAGGTTCTCACATTCTTCCTCAGAATTTCTAATACAAATAGAAAATTAAGTGAAAGCAAACGTTTACCGTTTGACACAACTATGTTCTCGCATTTCGCATTTTATCGAAAGCACGACATGTGTATGTATGTACGTAAACCAAAAAATATCCTGTATATATACAATCCTGTCGTAAGACGAAGAAATTTGAAAGGAATTTGAAAAGAATCTGAAAGGGTTTCGCATTGAGCTATCGATAGGTCAATCGAATGGTTAACCTTTCTTCATCGAAGAAAAGAAAAAAGGAGAAAAAAAAGAATAACTTCTTTTGATCATTCATACGTTCCTTATCATTTCCATTATATTTCTCATCTACTACTTCTTCTTCTTCTTGGATTTTCTTCTTTCGGATATCGTAGCCGAGTCGAGTTGGTAAAATCAGAAATCCCTTTCAATTCCAAAGGGACGTTTCCTTCTTTGTGTCACTCGGGAAGTAAGAAAGAAATAAAAATAAAAACGTTATCATAGTTATCACAGTATCGGCTGAACTTTTAGTCCCGTAAGATTTCCGCTATTTTTCCCGGACAAGAAGAAGAGGATGAACGAAATATATAAGGAAAGAAAGAAGTTAAGAATAGAAAGAAAGAGAGAGAAGGATAAAGACAGAGATAAACAAGCGGTGCAATCATCTACCCTCTGTTTCGTCAGGAAAAGGGTGAAGGAGTCGAGGCAATTGACCCATGTGTGACATTACATGTCATATGCACCCTCTCTCTCTCTCTCTCTCCCTCTCTCTTTTCCATACAAGACGAAATCTGACAATGAAAAGAGCAGAAAAATCTATATTTCCCTCTTTCTATACTTTTTTGTTGAATGGTGAAAGTGATTTATCTTAACTATCAACGATTAATTTTCTTCGGATCACTTTTTACGACGGTCGATATATCAAGGTCATCGATAATCAAGTAACGCTACTTTAGAAGATATAAAAACTGTACTTTTTTTTCCCTCCCCCGTATTCTTTCATCATTGACATTTTATTATCGCTAAAAATATGATTAATAACTTTTCGTCTGTCGCGTAATGTCACTTAAGGGCTGAGAGTAAGCGTGATAATTTCGTACAATAACAAATGAAGTATTACCAATCCGTATATACAGAGTGTCTCTGGAAATTCGGAGAATCACTTGTTTAATCGAACTAATTCCATCCACCTGTATTTACAAACTGAATTCAATATCCTATGTTAAATCAATGGATTATTACTTTAGGAATTATTTGCAATAAAATACTTTCGAGAGAGAATTTTGAACGAGGCTAATAAAAAAATTTTTTGTTTCAGGCAAAGCCGTTCCATTCGTGGAATTGACCGTAGCACATGCCTCGGTTTTAACGATTTTGGCAATTAGTTTCGAACGATATTACGCGATTTGTGAGCCGCTGAGGGCAGGGTAAGAAAAACTAAAGGAACGTTCCTTTTTTTTTTTTTTTTGTTTTTTTCTTTTAACGAAACATATAAAATGTTCCAAGGGTTCACTAAAATTATTATATAATCTATAATGATTTTTTCGAAAAACGCCTGTTGCCATTTAAGAGTTTAACCCAAAGTAGTTGAATTTATGATAAGGATTTATCCCCTCTCGAAAAACAAATTGACCTACCTCGGCATTTTTCGAACAAAATCACTAACTTTCAAAATAATTCTGACGAATACTTTTCGCGTTGAGACACTCTTTATATATAGCACATATACCTAACATATATTTCAAAGGTTCATTCTATTCCATTAAAAACTTGTCAAAACGTTTATGTCATCCGTAGATACGTTTGCACGAAGGCCAGAGCAACGTTTCTTTGCTTTCTTGCATGGGTGGCAGCAGCCCTTTGTACAAGGTGAGAAAAAGAAATGATAAACTTGGTCATTAAGCAAATCACGTTTCGCTATGATCATTCGCGCTTGCTATCTACTTTCCTACGTCGATTTAAATACTTCCCGATTCATAATTCTTCGATTTCAAGGTGAAACACTATAATACTAATAAAATCTAACGTCATTCGATCATACAAAGCTCATTCACTTACGAAAAGTATTTTTATACAAGGATCACTTAACGTGATTCAATAATTTTTATATATCATGACGGTAAAAATAAGTAAAAAAGGAGTGACCGATATAGGATACCGTTAGGATAGATCATTATACGCGTCGTAAAAAAGAAAAGAAAAGAAAAGAAAAGGTCCAGCAAGGGTGGGACCCTGCCCCTGAAGAGAGCTCGATTTTTTATCCCATCGAACGTAACGTAAGGAAGTGGTTCATCCGACCTTTATATACATACATTCCAAGTCAAGTCAGATGAGGGAAAAGTTAGGAGAGAGGAGAGCTGAGACTATACTATAAGTAGGTCTATGTGTGCGTGAACGTATCTCTAGGAGAACAGCACGTTTCTCTTGCGTACTTAAGTACACCGCCTACGGGCGCATACAGCTGCTGCGCGTCATAAAAAGCATATTATCCGTAAACCACTTTCCACAGAAACGTTTTATATACCGTATGTAAGAACAGATCACTCGTGCTTAAATCTGTCAAAGGGGAGTTTCTTCGAAACCCGTAACCAAAGTGAACGAGCTTTGACAATTTCTTCTTAGGAAATATCCTCTCTGAATTGTTTAAATTTAATTCTTCATCCTCATCTGGCTAAGATACCAATCCGATCATGATCGAGGTTGAATAAGGTAGAATATTTTCTTTTCTTTCTTCCTTTTTCATACATATTTCTTATTTTCACCGTAAATAATTTGAAACATTTACGGTTGATTTACGGTCGATCTACGTGCGGTCGCATCGAACACTGCAACGCAATAGTACAGTGATGGATCGCTGCAAGATATATGCCAACCTCTTACGTAACAAGTGTTCTCTATCGACAGGATGATATGTGACCGTTTGAAAATTCTACTTCTTTAAGGGCTAATTTTAATATACTACCGACAAAATATGTCAAAATATTCGCATGTTTGATCGATAAACGATCAATCAATAACTACGTACATCTATGAATTAAATGTAAAATGCATGAGTAAAAAACAAATAAAATATATATATATATATATATATATATATATATCAAAACTGAAGAAACAAAGTTTCGTCAAACATTATATACATTTTTCACTGTTAAACTAACATTTCCTTTTTTTTTCTTTTTGTATTATAAAATGTGTTAAGAAAAATAATTTTGTAGAAAAACTTGATTTGCAAAAGGTTGAATCTGTTTCGCAAAAGGGTGAATTTGATTTGCAAAAAGTTATATTTGCAGTGCAAAACTGACATGTGTGGAACTCTTTAGGAAATTCGCACCCTTTTTTAATCGATGATATCGTATCCAATTTTTTGGATGGATCTCACAAAAAAATAGAAAACAAGACATATTACCTTTCGATAGCAACCCTTCTATCACGACTATCCTTCTTTGCGTTTTTCCTTTTCTCGAGAGGGGGGAGAAACTCGTTACTATATCCTTAATACTGCTACAATCGACGGTAAAGTCAATCAACGGGGTAGTTCGTCAATCTACAATTTTGTTATAAAAAAATATAACAATTAGGAATTATTATTAAAAATTACTCTATGATTTGGACACTTCCATATATATTTAATGGCATTTTATATCTATTTTTCAGTCCCATACTCTTGATGGTAACCTACGAGTTGGAAGAAATCGACGATACGTTTATACCAACCTGTTACACTTCCGCCGATGCAACATGGATGAACGTTTTCGTCCTTACAACGATAATCGTCTTTTTCGTCGTACCACTGTTAATTTTAATGGTACTTTACACGGTGATAGCGTTACACCTCATGGCAAATCCTGCGATAAGCCGTGGCCCAGCTAATAATTTGTTAAAGTATCGTAAACAGGTGGTACTAATGTTGGGCACCGTTGTTTTATGCTTCTTCCTTTGTTTATTACCTTTTCGAGCATTGACCTTATGGATAATTGTAGTACCTCAAGAAATGATAATCAATCTTGGAATCGAGGGATATTACAGTCTCTTATATTTCTGTAGAGTAATGCTGTATTTGAATTCAGCAATTAATCCTATTTTATACAATTTAATGTCTACCAAATTTAGAGAAGGCTTTTTGAGACTTTGTGGATTGGGCCCTGCAAGGAAAAGAAAGAAAAAGACTTCAGACAGAACCGGAACATACACAACTGGTTCGACAAACTGTAGTAGCAGTAATCATTCTGATTTCTGGAGGAGGCATAGCAGCAATAAAAGTTGCAATGTAAAAGTACCTAGTAATACATGTACTACTGTGTCCATTGAAAAACAAATTAATATCCCATTACTCACGGCCGTTGTCACTGGAAATATTGTTAAAAAGAAACAGGAAAGTTATGTTTAAAAACATTACAAAAATTTGTAGTATTCATTAATTAGAGGTATCGTTGTAAAAATATATATTATATTATTATATATATATATATATATATATGAACACAGTACTACTCACATCTAAAGGGCATAAAAAGTCTCCACCACTTTTAGAACACCAAATACTTAGTTCTCTATTTTTTTTCCTTTTTCTTGTCTTTTTATCAGTGGATTAAAAATAATTGTATCGTTGCTATTAAAAGACTTTTGCGTTAACTTTAATATCATTCCAGATACAATACTATGAAATTACTACGAAATTCCACTAAAAGTATTGTACGTAAACTGTTATAATATTTAAATATTCTTTTGTAATTATGAAGAACCGTAGACTATTGTAAAGTATTAAGTTTGTAATATGTACAAGAAAAGAAATAACTAGTCATAGACTTAAAACATTCATTAGAATTAAAATTTAACAACTCGTAGCAAAGATCATTGCTATAAATAAAAGATAAAAAAACAAGAACACGAAATATAAACAATGCAATGAAGTTATATGACAAATCATTTCACCATTAATTATTTACAAGACTATTATGAAAAGAAAAAAATTATAAACTTTTTTTATGACTCGAATAATTTATTTGTTCAAATATGAAATTCTTTGAAAAAATGTCTATTTTTTTGAAAACACAAAGCTAATTTGTAAAAAGAAAGAAATTGCACTTTGAATGTATCCTCTCATAAGTTCGTACTAACCAATGGACAAAGTTAATCAATTGAATATCTGCATGTGGATAATTTTGTTACAGAAAGTTTTATTTCAAATTTTTACATTCCCTTAATAAATTATGTCACATTTTATTATTTATACAACGCTGAATGATTTAAAAGAAACATTAAACGATTCGAAATATCACTGCATTGAACGCAGTCTTAAGAGTAATTTGAAAATGGCGGGCTTCACGATGTGGTAATTTTTCCCTAAAATTCCCTAATTGATAGTTTTCGCGCTAAAACTGTCTAGTTCTGTAAAAAAAAAAAAAAAAAAATGGAAAAAAGTTGTAAATCGAAATATACGTTATCCTAAAGGATAAGGTTAAGAAAGTTGACTTTTTTCCAAAGTGTATAAACCATTTAATAGGTGAAAGGAAGAAAAAGAAAAATAAAAATATTCGCATATAAATCGATTTATATTTATACTGAAAAATGACGCAGCCATCAGTAACGGCATATTTTAACACGTGTAAATCTAAAGCATTATTGTTGGATCAAGAGCATGTGAAAATAAATAAAGAAAGTGAATTTAAAACGAAAACGCAATCGTCCAAAGTTTTGTTTGAAAAAGAAGAAGAAAGTATGGTAACGAGAGGAAAATTGATATCGGTGCAAGGAACGAGCAATAATTCTACCCTTAAAGTAAACTCTACTACGTGTCAAAATCAAATTGATTCTAAATGTTCTGCACAAAAAACAAATAAAATTATTACGCGTTCACGTGCAGCTCAAGCACAGAAATTAAGTGAAATCGGTCAAGTGGATATACGTGAGAGTTTTCTCAAAAAAACTTATGATGCCGATGCGAAGAGAGTATTATTTAAAAAGGAGGGTACTTTAAATCCAAAGAAGAAGCAACCTACGACTCCAAAGAAAAATGTATCAGAGGAAAAGCAGCCAACGAGGAATGAAAAAAATGAACCAACTTCTGTTGGATTTACTACGCCCAAAAAGGCATCAAATAGAGATGACTCCAGTAAAAAAAACTTGGATTTGAATGAGATTAAAAATAGGATTAACAAATCTAACAGACTAGCAGAATTAAAAGCTTCTATTGATCGCATAAAAAAATGTGATCAGCGTTTAAATGAATATCAGAAACAAAATGATTGTAATAAGCCTCAAATACAGAAATTCGAACATATTCAACTTGAAATACCAATTAGGTAAATGCATTTTCATAATATTTACAATCTCTTTATACTATATGTTAATTTTTATTTTATCGAATAGCCCTCAAAAGAACTTTAAATCGCCAAACAAGGGATTAATGAGTCCTATAAAAAGTGAAATATTACCTCATACAAGCCCACAACGTCGTCTTTTATTTGAACCTAAGGAATCTACTAGTCCAGTAAAGAGTAAACCTGACAAAACTCCAGCTTATCAAAGATATTTGTCACTTTTTGAAAATGGTACACCAGGATTACCATTGCCGTATAACTATAGATTCTTAGCAGAAATTTTTAGATCCGTTGATACGGTACATGAACATATATCATTTGTTGCACCTATATTCTACTGTATTCATTTATATATGAAATAATATTCCATATTCTTCATATTATTAGGTCTCAGCTATGCTGTTCAATCGTAAAGAGTTAATAACATTTAAAAAATTAAAGCCAGCTGTTCAAGAACTTTTACGGCGCAACTTTACATTAGAGCATTTAGCACAAATAAAGACTATTTATCCTGATGCTTATGTCTTTCATCAAGAAAAAGTTAGGTCATTTGGATCGACATCTAAACAAGATAAATATGAATTAGTCTTGACACCGACTGTGCAAATAAAAGATCGGCCGAATGAACCAAATGAAGACAATGTCTTACAGGCGGCAATAGATGTAAGCATGAGCCCAGGCATATTGCTAGAAAGAAGAAGAAAATTTTATGATGTTTTGTTAGGTAATTTCAATTATTTTTGGACTTACATTTTTTGTACTGTTAATTATACGTCATAATTATATTACTTATGTATTGCAGATAAAGTTAAGACAGAGCACGAGCAATTTTTGCTAAAATTAGAAGAACCGATGGTCATACCTAAAGACAAAATTATACGTTGGCATCCTGAATTTGATGTTGAAAGTTGCAAGCCTATTGACCAATCTGTATTGCCACAACCACCTGATGTAGAAAAAGCCACCTCTGCTAAACACGTTTTAGGTAACAATAATTTCATTACAAAAATATTTACGTGCAATTCTTTAATTTATTATATGTATATATATATATATATATATATATATATATATAGATTCTTGCGCGTTGATGTTTTTTAATGCATATATTCTTTTTACAGAAAAAGCAAAATCTCTATTCAATTGTAATACTCGCATGGAAAAAGCTTTGCAAAGATTGGCAGAAGCAAAAATGACGTCAAAATCAGGATCTTCGGATATATCTTCTACAAATGAATCTACTGATGTTACTATGAAAAACGTTAATATTGGTATCATCGATACTCCACCCGCTACACCATCTGTAGAAAAGAACTATCTTTCTACGGCATTTAAAGGCATTCCAAAAGCTCTTCTTGAAAAGGTAGAACTTTACGTTGTTCTCTCTTTTTTTTTTTTTTTTTTTTTTTTTTTTTCAATTCAATTAATATATTTATTGAAATTTACGATTCTTAATGTTGTTAGGTACGCGCAAAACAAGCTGCTAAAGCATTAGAGATGATGACTCGAACACCGGATCTAGATAAAGAGGCAACTCTATATTCTAGATTACCCGAATTAGCAAAAATTCTACGTAGTATTTTTGTAGCCGAAAAGAAAGGAGTTTTACCATTAGAACATGTATTGACAAAATTAGACAATTCGTTTAGAACTAAACTAACTGCAGCTGAATTAAATGAACATGTGCGAAAATTATGTAAATTATTGCCTACTTGGGCTAGTATACATAACGTGCGGAAAACAGATTATTTAAAGCTTGCAAAAGATGTCGATTTAAATAAAGTAATTAAAATGTTAGAAATTGTAGCTAACGATAAAGTGATTACATCGTGATATCATTATTACAATGAAATTAATGTAAAACTTAGTTCTTATCTGTATTCGTATTTTTAATTTCTTATGGTATACTTTTTTATGGTATGCTTGCACGAGTACAATAACAATGAATTAGCATCTTACGATTAGAGTTGATGTTTTTTGATAGTGAATAAAAATAATACACGAAAATTGACATTTTTAATTATGTGATGTATGTGTGTGTGTGTTGTATTCATAAAATTATAATCGTCATATTATTTTCTTCAAATATAATTACAAGTGGTATACACACAAAAGATTAAAAAGTAAAATTAGCAAGACAAATCTAAATTTATAAATGATATTTATGATATTCAATGTGTTATGGAAATATCTTTCTTAGATATACTTGTCATTCCCTTGTTCAATTTTGTCAGGATCGCACTATCCCGTCATACATTTACAGGCATTTTTTATGAGTATAAATAAGACGTATAAAAATATGTATATATATACACGGTACAACGTTTATGTAGTACTAAAAAATTCGTTGATTTTCCTTTGAAATCTGTAGGCAAAATAAAAAAATTCAAAGTATCCCTAGAAAAAATTATAAAAATTATTAAGCCTTTTTGCCTGTGAGCGGTTTACAACAACGTCATCATCGATAAAGTTTAAGCTCCTTTCTTATTGGTCGTCGTAGACTTAAGTCGAAATATTTCCACAAATCACATTGTATGCATGGTATATCGTTGAGGATGCAATTGAAGATGCAATGATACCAACGTTTGCAAACGTTTTTAAGATTACGAACCGTTCATTTTAGGAGGGAGTTCATAGCATAGCGATCACGGTGACGATAAAAGCTGAAGAGTTGAGATTTGAAAGGAACGAGAGCGTCCATTTTCAGGCTCTTGGCGTACGAATATCTAATTTAATGTACATCCATCAAGTAAGCGTATATTATTTTTGATTTCATTAAACTCTTTTGATCTTTTCAATATATTTATATATTATCAAAGAACAAGAGAGGCAGAGAGGAAGAGGGAGAGAAAGAGATATAGAGATTAGATCTCTAGATTAGTGTTAATACGAGTATACATATTTTCATGAGAAAGTATACCAACGCTGTTACTGAATCACAATTTTGAGTTTCTTCTTCCATATTGATCGATTTTTTACAAGTTGATATTGTCCTTTAGTTGGGAAAGAATTGAAACGCCTTTTCTAATAATCGATACAATATTATTTTTATTATCATACGATTCGTTGTTGGTCATACGTGGTATTTTTAACAAATGTTTAACGTGTTAGGTTAGGACTAACTAAATAATCGAGAAACCCGCGTGGTTGAAACATTCCCATATTTCCGGTTATTCCTAAACGAATATTGTAAATTTTCTATCAAGATTTTTCTTTTCTTTCCTTCGTTCTTTCTTTCTTTTTTACTTTTCATTGAAAACTACTTAAACTTTTTATATATTATCCATGTTTTATTTTCAATAAAAACTTTATCTATCGTTTTTAATATAAAATTTTTATAAAAGAATTTTTTGGAATATTTTCAAATTTAAATGAATTTTGAGAGACATACTCTGTCCTTTGATTTAATTTTGTAATGTATTTAAAGAAAATGAAAATGTTTGCATTGTTTATTATTTTTGTAATTAGAGTATTTCCAAAGTTGTTCAACCCGAATGGAGAGTCAATTGAGTTCATCAAAACTAGAAAACGTATCAATGATTGGATCCTCTGAAATTTTTCATTTGTCCGAGGTACCAGAGATATCAGAAGTATTGGAATCCAGGGGTCTCAGTCCATTAACTTCGTCTCTGGATCAAACCCTTACATTGCAGGCAGAGAATATGACTATCGAAGAAGAATTGTGGTATAAAGAACTTTCTTGATACATTATGAGCCAGGAAATAATTGAATAAATACTAACGCCAAGTCCTCATTTTGAATAGGACAGAAGCAAGTAGCCCTGCATCCGATTGCGCTATCCCACTTCCACCTCCGCCCGAATTAAATGATTTCAGAGATGTTGATTTTAGAGATACAAACACAGATTCAAATGTCGAGTCTGGAGCGTTAGTACAATATGGTCCATTTTTCCCACCCTCTGGAACGCCGACATTGAATAATCTTTTTGCAGAAGCTGGAGATGTTCAGGATGATACCACAATGGGTAAGAAAATACTCGTAAATACTCGTGAACGTGTTATTTAATTGTTAAATGGAAGATTTAAAATCAATCAAATCACTTTGTATAGGTCCTCTACCTGCCCATACAGAGATAGTAGTCCTGTCTGCTGGAGTATGCGGTCTTCGTAATCTAGGAAATACCTGCTTTATGGCCGCGGGATTACAATGTTTAACTGCTACGCCACCGGTTCTTCATCATTTTTTGAATTTAGAAGAGAAAGGAGAAAAATTACCGCCGCCTGGATCTTTAATGGCACACTTTAGCGTACTTCTTTGTAAAATGTGGTCAGGCAAATACAGTGTATTAAAGCCAACAGAGTTTAAACAGACGTTAGGTGTGTATCATTCCCAATTCAAGGATTACAGACAGGTAAGCTTGTGACAGTCATAAAATCATTTGCATTTACGATATCTAAAAGACTTATCGACAACTCGAGGATCCCGGAAGCAATTAACAACGGTTGTCGTTGGCAGCACGACTGCCAAGAGTTCCTTGCGCTACTGTTAGACTCTCTGCACGAGCAAATGAATACGGCAAAATCATCTAAGAATTGCCACGTTCCAGTAACTATGTCTACTGCCAAATCATCCTTTAATCTCATTGAACATTCAAATGGAAAGAACGTTTCCTCAGCCACTGCCACTAGGAATTCCAGTGATTTCTTAGAACCATACAACTGTTTAGCACCTTTAGATTCTCCTAATAGTCCAAATATTACAATGGCTGGATCTTTAAGAGGTATATAATACCAAATGTATATTTTTTAATGTCCTTACTTTCAGATATCTACTACTAATAAAGGCAACATTTAGCTTTCTACATTTATTATTTTAGATTTCAACTCACCGGTATGTGAGTTGGATAGTACCGCAAATTCTCCAAGAAATTCACCTTTAAATGATGACGATGACGAAGAGACATTAGATTCGGATGAAATGATGATGGGTACAAAAACTGGATCCTTTATACATAATGAAGTTAATGAAGGAACCTCTGATGCGTGTTCCTTAATGTTAAATACTTGGAACAAATTATATAAAAATGCTTCAGAACTTCATGGATTGTATGATATTCATAAGGAAGCAAAAACTAGTAATGCCAATTTTCTTGTAACGCAGCAAGAGTGCAATAATGAAATTCATTATGATTCGCAAAAATTTCCTAAAGAAAATGTTCGTAGAATGCCTTTAGATAATTCTAATCTGATGGAGAATCATGATTTTGACAATAAAAGTGTTAGTATCAAGCGTATTAAAGAAGTTAACATACAGAAAAGCAATTGCGAAGTAGATTGTGTTTCAAGTTGTTCTGATTTAGAGTATGATAGAGATTTAGAAAAGTGTAACGTAAAGCGAATGAGATTGGATGACCAAGAGAAAAATCTTAAACGTGATGGATTAAGTGGTACGATGCAATGTTTACATACCCTACAACAGACTGGTGAAAATGGATCAGTTATACCGCAAGATGAGCTTGAGGCAGATAAACATTGGGCTAAGCATTTACGATGTAATAATAGTATTATAGTAGATACTTTTCAAGGACAATTTAAAAGCACAGTAAGTATTCGGATCTGTAATATGATTTGTAAAAATGACGGAACTTACGTTGGGGTGGCACTAAGTATAATCGGCTGTCACCGTGAAAAGTCTCCAAGATGAAACTACAGCAGATCCTTCTTGCTCTGGGAAGCATGAGAGACAAGTCTCATACTGCTGTTACAGATCACGCGCACCGCACCGCACACATATTGATCGAGATCAGTATTGGATATTTCGAGTAATATTTTTTATATGTTTACAGGTCATATGCGCTGTGTGTAAACATGTCTCGGTAACGTATGAACCATTCATGTATCTTTCGGTCCCGTTACCTCGCGCGATGGAAAAGCAATTGACTGTAACATATGTCCCAGCATATGGTGCTCGACCTGTAAGATGTGTAGTTTCATTGAATAAACAATCCCGTGTAGGCAAATTAAAGGAGGAATTATTGCATACACTTGAGAAGGACACGATCTCATTATCAAATATTGCACTGGCTGAGGTTCTTGAAAATCACATAGCAAAAGTTTTGGTGAGTATTAAAACGTCTCAGAATTATATTTATTTTGAAAATAAAATTAAAAAAAATATATTACTACTGTATTTTACAAAGTAAAAGAAAATCTTAAATAGATATCATCAATCTTTTCGAAGCACTCTGATATATATATATATATATATATATATATATATATATATATATATATATATGCGTGCATAATGTAATAGTTATATTAGAACAAAATAAATAATGGAGGAAAAAGAAGACGGTATTTTGATTAATATCAATAACCGTTGATACTATCCTCCAATAAAAATTTTATGAAAGAACATTCTCATAGTGTGGAAACTTAACTATGAGGCTACATTCCATAGTACAAAATCACTTTTAACTCGATATTTGTTAAATTATCTAAATTGACAATTAATTTCAATCATTATTTATTATACATTTAAGAATGACGATACACTGTTGAGACACGTCAATGATACAAATCGATCCATATATGCATTTGAATTGACGGATCCTCCTGATGCATGTACCACCATATCTGACAGCGGTGGAGATCGTTTAACGGAGGCTGAATCTTGTCAAAGAAGTACAGTTGCGAATGAAGCAATCCATTGTACAATATGTTTCGACGAATCAGACGTTGATATGAGAAAGCATGGAGAAAACAATTGCACCTTCGTCATATGTGACACATGCATAGAAGTGAGTATTGTATACAATATTATTTGATTCTTCATTTAATTTAACTAAAAGTATAATTATTTCACTTGTTTTATCTTAGAACATAATAATATCAAAGGCCATAAATATAAATCAATATGAAATTTAATCATAAATAGCGTTTCCTGCTTTTTTTTCTTTTTCTCTTCTTTTATTCTTTAACCCGATGATGAATTTGGCAGCATCAATCTAGCAGAAGAGGTTTACATTCAGGGTATTTAATTACCAGTATTAAACCTCGGGAAGGTCTGAGATAAGGTCTATTAACATTCTAGCAGGATGACATCTTAAAGATGTGTATAGGAACTAGAAATAGCTTTGTGTTATCAAATAAGCCGGGGAAGTTTCAATTGAAACAGAGGTAACTGGAAACACAAAGATGGAAACCTATATGATCTGCTTTTTAAGTCCAATCTGCAAGCTGGTTTATTTTTATTCCAGAACTCAATTCAGACTAGTCTGATACTGCCATATACTGAGGGTTTTCTTAATTTTTTCCTTTTTTACAATTAGTTGTTTGTTCTCTTCAATCGACAGATAAAATATATTGTTAATTCAACAACTCTTGTTTACTTTAGAAATTCAAGGAAAAGCTCATTGTTAGAGTTAAAAGTAATTGAAATGACAATTGCAGAGTATACACTGTTCATATATGATCAAGATTTTTTCCAATTATCATTTCCTTTTATGTTTGCCTTAAAATGGTCTATGATGTGTTCCCTGTTCCTGTACTTAATATTGAAGTTACATAAGTGAGTTCTTCATAATTCACCTGCACTCGATTAATCAAAAAAATCTTAATCAAACTGATGCAATAATTTAACTGAATATCTTTTGTATAATATAATCATCGTGCGTCCTATATTGATACTAATTAATTTACAGGTTTTTCCATTTACATAATTATAAAATTATTATTGTGTTATATGTTTATGTATAATATACATACATATATACATACATATATATGTGTGTGTGTATGTGTGTGTGTGTATATATATGTATATGTATATATATATATATAAAAATTGAGAAAGCAGTTACGTGTATTGACCAACAGAGTTACTCCAAAACTCAAGTGGACTCAAATAAGTGCCCAGTATGTAATACCTATATAACAGCTTTTACCAAAGTGGATCACACCGGTCGACCAAGACCTGTTGTTCGAATTTTGAATGTTCCTTTGGTATTAAGACACGATACCACGTATGAAGCATCAAACAACCTCAAAAGTACAAATCTATTTGGCCACCCATACTTAATTAGATTACCGTCGAGAGTAAATGCTAAAGACTTGTACGATGTTGTTAAGAAGAATGTACCACAAGAAGGACATTATACTGTTCATTTTGTTGATGGGAAGGTGAGGATTTAAACTTAAACTTTTTCCTAGGTATATAATAGATATGTAATTGATTAATCGCAAGGTAAAAAAAAAAAAAAATAAAGTCCATAAATTTTACATTCAATATTTTTTTCTCTATAGGGTCACCACTGTTCTCGGTGTATGTATAATAATCCTTGTAAAGGTTGCAACGTCCCAGAGTCCGGTATAGTAACTCTACAGAATAGCGATAACCTTGCTGTTCGTTATACCGAACACGTTCCTAAAATCGCATGCCCAATCGATCATGGTAGTATTACTAAACAACATGATCCTTTATCATTGTATGAGTGCTTACAAGCATTTAGTCAAAGGTAACATCATTGCAATAATTAATTTAAAGGAATTAATAAAGGATGTTATAATACTCTTTTTCTTCTATCCATTTGTAAATAGCGAAACTTTAGACGAACACAATCCTTGGTTTTGTCCAAAATGTGAACGAAATCAATGTGCTACGAAGACTCTTACAGTTCACAGGTATCCCAAGTTCCTTATAGTATATTTAAAACGGTAAGTAAAATATTATACGAATATTATACTCAGCATGCATACGTAAATAAAAATATCCAACAAAGTATATCCTGACTCATTACAGATTCGTATTTTACGAGTGTACAAGTTTAAAGCTGGATGATAAAGTTACATTCCCCTTGGTTAATCTTAGTGTAGGTCGTCATTTATATGACCTTTATGCCTGTGTCTGTCATTTTGGAGGTATGTGTAGTATTTCCGTATTCAAGACGATAAGGTAATAAATATATTGCTACTTTAAAATTCATAAGTAAAAAAATTTCAGGTGTATCGGCAGGGCATTATACCGCATATGCGAAAAATCCTCATACTGACGTATGGTATTATTATAACGACGAAGTTACTAGTAAACAAATACCACAGGAGGAGGATTTTAGTAACGCGTACATATTATTTTACAGTCGACAAGGTGTCAATTTAAAATCATTTAATTTATAACCGCTAAAGTACCTAACCGGTTGGTATAAATCGCCGGTCAGGCAAACAATGAAAGAGCAAAAGCATTTTCAATTGAGCGTCATTCGTTCAGTGCTCTTCTCGAAACTATTTCTAGATCGTCGACGCTCGTTTTTATGATCTATTACATTCATTCTTTCTGGTTCTTTTTTTTTCTCACGTCTCTCGTCGTTGTTATTCTTCCTTCGAAATCTTAAATTAACGTCACTCTTGATTTTTTCTTAACATACGATATTACGAACAAAAAATTATTCATATGGAATAAAATTCATCGAGAAAAATTGAAAATCTGAGAGAGAGAAAGAAATGGATGTTTCTCAAAACTTATTGTATCTTTGATACAAGCATGCATTAAACGTGGTATCAATTTACTTTTTCAAAGGTCTGAGCATATTTATACTGCACAGTCTGTAAATGTATATCGAATTTGTACAGTAGTTAATTAATGTATATATTATGAAAAAGCATAATTTATTAGCGAATAAAACATGAAGGTTCTAACAAGTAGACGTATATTCTTTTAATTAATTTTTTTCATTTTAATTTTAATTTTTAATGAAGGTATTTTGTTTTTCTTGTATATTATTATTTTTATTGTAAAATTTCTTATCTCAGAGCGTAGAAATGCATTCATATAAGCAAGAAGAAAAAAGAGGAATTTTTTTCTTTTTTAAGCGCAAGAAAATATACACACACACACATATATATATATATATCTCTTTCCATTTTAATTTTAGCGTTACACAGTTGCACGTTTCTGATATTATATAGGCGTATTCATAAAATTTCAATTATTTTTTCTTTTTCTTCTTGCGTTTCTTTTTGCCTCCATCGGTTCTTCGAATTTTTATAATCGGAGATGGAGGTACCGTTGGTAAAGGTAAATAATTTCGTGGTAATTTAAACTCGAGTTCAAGGGCCTTTTTTAAATCGTCATTGGGAGTTATTTGTCTTACCGATTTTAATAAAAACATTTTTTCGTCTGGAGCCTTCGGAGGTGGTTCTTCATTAGGGATTATGTTCATTCTGGTACAACCTTCTCGACATTTTTTTCCTAAAATAAAAATAACAATTCTTTGCATCATTCAGAATATATTCAAAATCATGAAGCCATATTTTATACCGTATGCATCAGCGCAATTGCTGTCAATGTTAAAAGACTCCTCGGCACGCTTAGAAACTTTAACGGATATACGAGTATCGCCAATTTCTTGCGAGACTTCGCTGTAAGGAGCCTCGGTATTAATGAACTCGTTCGTTGGATGATAACATCTTGTGCAAACACATTCGTTATTCATTTTTGATGAAAAAAAATCAATAATACAATTTGTTGCTTTTTTTTTTTTCTTTTTTCCTAAGAAAATTGCATTGTACTTCATGAGATTGCAATGTACACTTTTAATTTACGCCATTTTGAAATACTTGAATAACAAGGAAGATGGATAATGTTAATTATCCATCTTAAAGTAAAAAGAAATTGAATTCATAAATTTATAAATATAGTTTCTTTTCTGTGAAAGTATAAATATTTCAAAAGAAAATAAGTTAACTGAGAAATTGGCCTGTTTCGTCTTTTGTTTTTAGCGCCTTCTAACAATTTTAGCTCTATGGCCTATTACACCATAATGCAATCCAATATGTAATGTTGGTTGGCCATTAATCATTTAATTGGCAATCGCTCATTGGCTGGCGATTTATCCCAGGAATGTCAACTTCGTTTTAATGGCTAAGATATAGGAAATCATAATAATCCTATCGATCGATAAAGTATTTAAAAATGCATTATTTTATTATACACTAGCAATGTCAGTAATACGAGATCGCTCATTGGCTAGCGCCTTATCTCAGAAATGTTAACTTCGTTTTAGTAACTAAAATATATAGATCCTAAAAAAATCCTAATTATCAATGAAGTAACAGGGAAACCCACAGTTCTTTTAATATCTACGAAGAGGAACTGTACGTTAAAGTTTATAAATGATGTCGTTTGATTAATCGAAAAATATTTAGTAATATAGAAAGTGTTTATAATTGACGTACGATCATTGAGAATATTAATCCATATATTGAGAACAATAAAATCATCAAATTTTGGATGAAATATATTTTTTTATATAAAGGACAATTTATTACAATAAAATATGGGTACGTATTAATTTTATATTGATATTATTGGATGTTGTAATAAAAAAAATGTTGTTATTTCATTAATATTTTTATTACAGGTAATTCACAACCTAACCAATACAATGTACCAGAAACTGCACACAAACAGAATAAAGTAAACGAAACAAGTAAGAAACCCGAAGACAATACTAACTTAAGTACAAAGAATGAGGGAACTACGCATAAAAATCAGAGTAATAGACCAGTAGAAACGAAGAAAAAAGATAATTATAAAGTAGAAGATTTAAGATATTCAAATCTACATAATAATACAAATCCAAATAATCCATATCCATATAATACACATCCATATAGTATACGTCCAAATAGTACGCATCCAAATGGTACGCATCCAAATAGTACGCATCCAAATAGTACGCATCCAAATAGTACGCATCCAAATAGTACGCATTCATGTAGTACACATCCAAATAGTACACATCCAAATGGTACATATCTAAATAATACATATTTAAAAAATGTACATCCAAATAATACAAATACAAATAATATATATCCAAAGCTACAAAGGACATATTCAGATGGTAAGATAAAATATTCTACAATCGATTTATATTTATAACAATATACATTATATGAGAATAAATTCTTATAAATAATAATTGGTTTAATCAGTGTCGAATATAGATTACCATATTTGCGATCATAATGTTTTATATTATCACTATTTCACTTAATTATAATCTTACTTTTTTATTTTATATTAGATACCAAACCGTCTTGTCCCACTAAGGAAGAATTATATGATAATAAATCTATACAACAAACACAGAATGTATCGACTGAGAAAAAGGATAACATAAAGTCTATGATTAAACCTCCACCAAATTTAGTAGACATAAAAAATTTCATGACATCTTGGACCATATGGAAAGAACAGTTAATGATATTTTTGAACCTAATGGACGAGAACAAGGAAAAATATCATCTGTGGGGAAATTTTCTTTTGAATTTCATGGGTGTAGTCAGCCAGGAAATTCTTGATAAGTTAATATTTTATCCAAATGAAAATAAAAATAATTTCTCAGTATTAATTAATAAGTTTGATGCATATTATAAGTTCAATACAACTACTAAATCTGAGAATGAGAGCATCATGGATTATGTGGAAAAATTGAAGGTACGTTTTAAATGAAATTACATGATGTAATTGCGATATCTATATATATATCTATATATATATATATATATACATACATACATACATACATACATACATATATATATATATATATATATATATATATATAATAATTTACATTTTCAAGATCGGTGCTGTTAAAAATATAAAAAATGTTGATTATGTATTAAAAGAGAAATTGGCAAGCGATATAGAAAAGCATTGCAAAGAACGATTCATTGCATTAGCTAGTTGTAAATTGTCAGATTTCAATTTTGACAAAACATTTAAAGTTTTAACATTAGCAGAAATTGCTTTTTTATGGAATTTGTGCATTCAATCAAATTGTGAAAACAACAAAAATTGCAATTACTGCGGTAAGTCCCATTTAGAGGGACAATGTTTAGCGAAAGGTAAAGAATGCAACAAGTGCAAAAGAAGAAATCACTTTGCAAAATGTTGTCCTGGCCTGATGTATATTAATAATTGTGGTTTTTGCGGAGGCGATCATGGATTTAAGCGATGTCCTGCTTTTGGAGAAACATGCACTAAATGCGCCAAGCAGAATCATTTTTCGTGGATGTGCTCTAAAGCGATGTTAGTAAAAAATTGTCGGTTTTGTGGCCTGAATCATATGATGGATAGAAACAAATGTCCAGCAAAGAATAGTACATGCTGCATTTGCAAAACTGTTGGTCATTATGAAGTAAAATGCCGCAGTAACAAGACAAATAATGACGTAAAATAATAAGAAATTAAGTATTAAGATAAAAGATTTGATTATTCCTTTTTAATCAACATATATTTTATTTTACTACACAACTATTATAAGCTTTTAACTACGACTATATAGGTTATATAAGTTTTGGGACTATGTCAAATGTATTACTTATAAATGTAAACTCGTTATATACCTTGTTATATGCTGTATTAAATAAAGTTTGGTAAAAAAAAAAAAAAAAAAAAAAAAATAAACAGATTGACAACTTTCCTTCGAACGAATGAACACATTTTTAATTTGGATAAATTTTCTTAACAAAAGAATATCGTATTTGACTTCACACCGTTCGTATATAATAATATAGACCCTGTAAAATAGAAAAATAAATGAAGGATTTATTTGCAAAATAAAACGAAATATAATACGTAACGTAAAGTTAATGAAAATGAATACGTTAGAAGTAAATAAATGATATTTTTAATGCGACTTTCTTTAATATATAGACCACTCCTTGACCGACCGACCAACCGACCGACCGAATCGTTATCCTTAACCATCGAGCGGACCAGCAGGGGTATGTGGGCGTTTTGTTACGGTATTGGTACGCCGGCGCAGAATCTACGACGGCATAAAGAAAACGTAGGATCCGTGCTCCTCATAACGATTCGAACAGTATTCTGTGTAGGATCTTCCCGAATACGATCTCAATAATGCCACCTAAAACCAGTGGAAAAGCTATGAAAAAGGCTGGAAAAGCGCAAAAGAATATTAGTAAGACTGATAAAAAAAAGAAACGGAAGAGGAAAGAAAGTTATGCCATTTATATCTACAAAGTATTGAAGCAAGTACATCCGGATACTGGAATTTCCAGTAAGGCTATGAGCATCATGAACAGCTTCGTTAACGATGTTTTCGAAAGAATAGCTGCTGAGGCATCTAGACTGGCACATTACAACAAGCGATCGACGATTACATCACGGGAGATCCAAACCGCTGTCAGATTATTGTTACCCGGCGAATTAGCTAAGCACGCTGTAAGTGAAGGTACAAAGGCGGTTACCAAATACACTAGTTCCAAGTAATTATCATTTTTGTTTTATTTTTACTTCTCTTTTCCTATATCGGACCTTTTAACGTGCCCTTCTTTTCCTTTTTCGTTGAAATTTCTCGCACGCTTTCTTTTCACAAGAAAACTTTTATATTTTCATGACTTGACGTTTTTCCAAATTATTGATACAAATAATACAATATTTTCGTCTCGTTATTTTTCCATATTAATATTTACATGTATACATATATACACATACGGTATATATGCGCACACGTATACATGGCACACGTATATATGTGCATATATACACACGCATATATATATATATAATATATATATATATATATATGTGTGTGTGTGTGTGTGCGTGCGCGCGCGTGCGTGCGTTATATTTATTTATTTCCTATTGTATCATGTCAAAGAGACCAATAAATGCTGCTATAGATGTGACTTTATAATATAACCTTAAGTACATTGTATGTAAAAGTTTAAAATAATTAGCATGAGAAATGATAGTACTTGCTGAAGCTACAGTCAGAGAATTCAATAGAAAATCACAATGTCATATCTCTTTTTCAAAACAATACGTTTTATGTCATTAAACCGAGATCAAACATGTTTGTAAAATATGTTTTTAAAATATGTTTTATACAAATTCAACAAAGTTTCTATTATTTTCAATAATTATTATATAGAGCATTATGATAAATAACTTTTTTGTCAAACAAATCTATTGGATAATGAATTGATAGATCATTAACACTGATATTACATAACATTGATGTAAATGACACAAGTAAAACTGTATTATTATTTTTTTCTTTTTTGCTTCTATGTAATATGTATATTATATTATGCATTGCCATAATGCCATATAGATAAAGGAAACGGTGAAATAATTTCAATTTATATGCGATATCATAGCGGATTGTCTCATATTTGAAATAGATATTTACATAGATATTATTATTTTCAAGTCTTATAACACATTAGTATTTTTATTAAATCATTAATGTACCGTTATATCATACATTAGCTTCAAAATAAAAATGAAAAACAATGGACTTTTAAATGATAGCTCGGCTCAATTAATCATTAGAGTTATTAAGTGACTCTATAATGAAAAATGAAAATGACCACAATATTTTGATGTAACATAATCATACACGTGTATGTACATATATTGGACATATTAATTTGTATAACTAATTGCTTGATATAATAAAATTTGTAGAATTATTTCAAGTGTATGGATCATAAATATATCAATATTTCAAGCTGATTGGTCGAGTAATGGAATATACTACACTAGTACGTGAATGGTCGATTCTCTCAATGCGCGTCATATTGTGAAAATAGCGAGCTCTGGTGTTAGAGAGAAACAACAGTCGAGTCGTTTTAACAAAGGAGGAAAAGGGAGAATAACGAAATCAAGTCTTATTCTAAAAGAATCCATTGGAAAAGGTAATCATCTATAAGAGAGGAGTATCGTTGAACGAGAAGATGGCCGAGAAAACTTCGTCTTCGCCGGTCGTAATAGCAGGCTCAGGTACTGGAAGTTCAGCGAATCAACAAACTAATACGAGTACGTCTACAACGAGGAAGAATACAGTACCGAAGGCTAAGAAGCCACGTAGCAAACCTACCCATCCACGTACACCGGATATGGTGACCGCAGCTATAAAGGCTTTGAAGGAACGTAATGGGTCATCTCTTCAAGCTATCAAAAAATATATGTCCACGACGTACAAACTCGACGTAGAGAAGCATGCACCTTTTATAAAGAAATATTTGAAGAGTGCAGTAGCATCCGGGACATTGGTACAGACTAAGGGAAAAGGTGCGGCAGGTTCTTTCAGATTGGCCTCGTTGAAAAGCGAAACGACCAAGTCCAAGTCTAAACAGTCGGGGACTAGTAAGAAGCAAGTAGCGAAGAAACGAGCGAATACGAAGAAAACAACGTCAACGAGTTCGAAAAAGACGAGTACCGTTGCGGTTCCTGCTACGAGCATTGGAACATCAGGAACAACAACGGCAACAACAGCAGCAGCGGCAGCGGCAGCAGCGACGGCAGCAGCAGCAGCAGCAGCAATAGCAGCGACGACGAATGTGGCGACACAGGCAACGACAACGACAACGTCAGGTAAAAAATCACCGGTGAAGAAAGCCGCGATAACAGCGGCGGTCAATGAAAAGCGTAAAACGGCGAAAGGTCCAGCCGCTAAACCACCGAAAGCTAAGAGCGCCGTTCACCAAGTACAAATTTGGTCGAAATCTAAAGTCACCGCCAAAGCGACGCCGAAAAAACAAGCAGTAAAAAAGTCAACGACTGCAGCTAAACCAAAGAAAGCAACTACGAAGAAGGTAGCAGCTAAGAAAAAGTGAGCCAATAATCTACAATCATCCACATCGGGATAAAGTTAAACTCGAACGGTCCATTTTAGGACCATCGCGCGTTCTCCTAATAAAACGCAAGGAAAAACACGCAAGTTGATACTACGGTGCGATTTGTACTTTGAATATGGCGCCGTTCCCGTTCAAAAGCCCGGCGGCGGAGTCGAAGACGCATCCAGTTTTGACGTTTCTATTGCGAAAGAACGAAATTTAATCTATGCCGAGAGACTTTTCTTTCCTAATACATCCTTTTTCTTTACTTCTTTATGATTATCCTTTCCTTAGTAGACACAGTACTTTTCTTTTTCTCTTTTCGCAATCTGCCTTACGTTTATCCTTTTTTTTTTTTTTTTTTTTTTTTTTCCTTTCAATTGGTAACTCGTCATTTGTTTCATTGTCAGAATTAAGTGAATTAATTCATATCGAATTTGCGGTAAATATTGATCTTGCTTGTAGTTGTTTTAGGTAACGGTAAGTCCTACTTATATATTATTATATATAGTTGGTAAAGTTAGATCATCATTAAGAAAAGCAAGGAGATATTGCACTTAGCGATCTTATTATTTCTTTTTTTGTTCTTCCCTAAACGCCTTTCTTTTTATTTCACTATCCAACGTGTAAATCGGAACAAGTTACGTTTCTGAATCGCCATTATTTTTGATTACATAATACACGAAATATTTATTTTGTTCTTTATACTTTGCACAAAAGGAACAAAAAAATAATTATAATACTGTCGCGTATTGTGAAAGTGACATAAGAATTTATTTAATTTATTCGATATATATATATATAGTTGTTAAATCTTTGTGTCTATCATTATATTTAGAGAGTTTATTAAAGGTTTTAATATAACAATGATCTTTATTGTTACAATACTTTTACAACAATCTTATAATATTTGATTTATTTTGATGTATAAACATAACAATTATATGACAGACATATAACAGCCCCACGTTTATAATCGTTAGTTATATAGAGTACCTGACGCACACGATAGAACAACATATTAATATCAAATAGAGAAAAGGCATTAAGCGTTACACAAAGAAAAAACTTTCATACGTTATATATATATATATATATATATATATATATCTAATTCCTTCTAATCAAAAATTTCTTCTTATTTAATAGTAGCATACAGATAAGAATTTTCATTAGTATTTTCAACGAAGTTGTAATCGATTTAGTTTAAAAATAAAGATATCATTGATAAGACAATTGTAAGATACTTTTAATATAACGAAGAAAACAAAGATAGAATTTATAAGCCTTCATAATACTCAGAAGAGACAGCATTACAAATGATTTACGTAATACACGAAATCTAGATAAATAATACTGATTAATAATATTATTTATATAATTTGTAGATTTGAATCGTAAACATTTAGATATTAAACAAACCTTATGGAATAAAACAATATTATAAAAGTTAATAAAAAGTGCCTAATAATTGAAGAATAAATAATTAAAATTGATATCCTGTCTGTCAAGGTAGTCGAATATATATGCACACGACGCACACGCACATGACACGAACGTATATATTGATCGCCATATTGTCGCTAAAACGTTCGAAATTTGAATAGGAACACATGATAATAGTGGAGGTAGTTCACTTCTTATTATTTCACTCGGTCGGTATAGTAGACGTTGATCTTATTATTACAAAATTGTCACGTCAGATGGCGCATGGTTGCTTTGGCGCGAAATTTTAATTTAATATTAAATAGATATATCGATGAATAAAGAGAATTTTCAAAATATAATATTATTTAAATAGGAACTTTTTATTACCCTTTTTCAATTTATAATTTATATTCCATAAGAGTTTACGAGATATTATTAATAGGTAAATGTTCTTTATCTATGATTCTATAACATTTAGACTGAATTGCGTCTTATGGTATAGGTTACATTCACCATTTTTTGTAACCTTTTCCTTTGGCCACTTGGTAATATATAAGTATTTTCAAAATATCTATACGTTTTAAATTTGAAATGCTGCAACAAATAAACGTAATATTTATAATAAATATGTTAAATTCAATTACACTCAGTTAAAAATTGAATTAACCTAACACTCACCTTAGGTTTCTACGTCATATTCTATTATCGCTTAAGAATAAGAAAAGAACATAACGATTTTATAATTTGAAAGCTTCGAAAGATTTCTTAAGAAACGTATTATCCAATTTGAATATTATTTATGGCACTATACGAACATATAAATATATGGGAATAATTTGATAGGTTGGTACGCTTTAATTTACTAACTTAACCCCGCTGAGTGGTGAATTGTCCAATTCTTATTAATCTTCGTTAAAATGTATAACCATTTTTACAAGATTTTTTCCTGATCATGGAGAGATATAATTTTACGTATTTCGTATAAACAATTATAATGTTATATTAAAATTTGTGAAATATGTCTTATATCAGATAAATTGCATGAACATAGGAATGTAAATATGGAAGACATGGAGTTCCAAAACACTCCATGTTACCGTCAACCGCTAGACTTCTATGACTTATAACTTTAATTTCGATGTGAGACTGGATATAAAAATCTTATGCGGTATATTTATACGTTTATAGTTTTATCGTTAAGATCGTCGTTAGTTGTGTGCAATATAGTAAAAAATTTCTATTCACATGTTCGGTAATATCTTTCACTCTGAATAAACGGGCAAGTCAAGCTGTCAAGTAAATATTACAAATTGATATTCTTTCAATAATTCAATTGAAATTGTTAATTTTCCATTATAAGAAAAATGTTGGTGCATCGAGAGAATCATTTGAGAAAGAATGAAGATATTTGAGCGTGTGGTCTTTTGAAATACAAATACAAGGATGCACCACAACAGAAGGAAAAAGAAGAGAGTAAATTATGGTGTACGAGCTGTGGAAGTGGTTCGTGGAACAAAGGGATATGGTTTTACTATTTCTGGACAACAGCCTTGTATATTAAGTTGCATTGTACAAGGAAGTCCTGCTGAAAATGCTGGACTACGAGCAGGAGATTATTTGGTGGCTGTTAATGGTCACAATGTTAGTAAAGTTCCACACGACGACGTGGTGCAGCTAATAGGACACTCCCAAGGTGTTCTAAGATTACAGATAGCTGAAAATTATTATTCCGATTCATCGGACGAAGAAGGTTTTGCTACCGTTAGGTCCAAGCCCAAATATGCACATAAGCCACGTGCTAACAATACAAATGCTATACAGTTACAATGTAGAGTTGCTAAAGTTGTTAGGGATTTACAAAGCGGTGCCATGTTCGATACAACTGGAAGAGCAGTGCAACAAAGTAAAATACATTGCAGTCACCTTCATCATCGTTGGAACATGAGTAATCCTCTTCCTCCGCCACCTCCACCTACGTCGCATAAACGAGATTCTGAAAAAATTGTACATAGAACTGTGGTCGGTTATTTGGGTACTATTGATATTCCTAATCAATTGCATCCGTCTTCTATGATGCAGGTAGATGCTTCAGCTTATATAGTATATAAACATGATTTCGTATCAATTTTTATAATGTCAATTAATATAAAATTTTTCTTAATACTTTTAGGTTCTACGAAAATGCATCAAAAGGTTAAAGGCAGAAAAACGAAATCCGACTACAGTACTTTTAACGATACATGTGGCAAACATAAAACTTACTAATTCAGAAAATCTTGTTATTGCTGAATATCCATCCTATAGAATAATATTTTGTAATTCTTTTTCTGAAGAAGATAAACAGTATTTTGGAATATTAACAAAGTCAGTCAAAGACAAGGATGACATAGTTTCGAACTCGTGTCATGTGTTCACTATATATTATAAGTTGATTGATCATGCGATACACTCTAGTACTTGTAACGTATTTGGATTTACATGTACGAAAACCTCGGAACTGAACATGTGCCAAGAATTTCCTGATAGCTGCAACAGTTTAATAGGAGCCATACAAACCTTATACATATCCGATACTACTAATGGCGATGCCAATCCGATGTACAACGAGGCACGAAGACGTCAGGATGCTGCTTCGCCTCAGCCTAGCAACGTTAGCACGTCGACGGCTCATTCAAGCAATAGCGATTCCGGTATAGGTTTCAAAGACGACTATCGTTCACGTTCGGAAAGAAATGCAGACTTTTCCCATTCCAGACAACGCTCCATTTTGCAGAGAGTATAGTATTTACTTTTTGCGCTTTAATCATTTATCAGACTTAATCTTTTATCTTGTCATAAAACGTGATAAAAACTTGGAAAAAAAAAAGAAAAAAAAAAAAAAAAAAAAAAAAAAAAAAAAAAAGAAAACAAAAAACAAAAAATAAATACATTTCTCTTATTTCCAGGGTCTTATAATGCCTCCTAGCAGAGGAACATTTAACGAAACTGCAGGTTCTAGGCTCACAGTACGGGCAATATCAGATTCAAGATGGGAGAATATAATAAGATCGGGTACGTCGAAGGGAAACGGGATATCATCGTCGTATGAGCCTACAACGGGGATAAATAACGAAAAAGTTTCAGTGAATTTTGACAATCCACGCGATGGAACGAGTTCGTCTACAGTAGTGGTAGGAAATCGTTCGATCGTTTCAGAAGGGAAAAATTCATGGAGGAGTGGGGATGCCACCACCTGTCCGGGACCATCTGCTCCTGTGGTCATGCAGGGGTTCGGTAGTTCGTCCGTTGGTTCTCTCTCATCTGCCTGTACCACCGCGATGCTTCACGAACGAACGGACGAAGTTATCGATACGTCGGAAAATTTGTCCAACCAATCGCAAATTTTAACGCGAATTACCGCCTGCGACAAATTAAGCCCAAAGGTCTATTGCGGCATGTCGAAATCGTTGGTTCATAGCTTGGAGGATTTGAATCCTACGTCGGAACATTCATCATCGTTTTTACACTCGTATGGCAATAAAAATGACAAACCACGTCCATGGGGAAGCTTGCAAGAAATACGGAGCACTCGTACCTGCACGTCGGACAATTGTTTGGTAAGAAATTTTTCTTCTTCTTTCTTTGTTTTAATTTTTTCTCTTTGTATTTTTTTCTTCTTCCATTTTCTTTTTTTTTTTTTTTTTTTTTGCCAATATCTTATACGTTCGTAATTAATCATTCTGTACGATACATAACGGGTAGGTAACGTAATTATTAACTTGTACGTAATGACCCATATTCGTTATCGTTATGATTAATCATTCATTATACTTCGAAATCATGCTAATTCTTCGCGGAAGCAACGCTAGGTAAGATGGTCTCGTACTTTTTCTTTTCTTTTTTTTTTCACGATTTCCGTTGCTCCCTGTTTTGCTCTCTATTGAAGCTGCGTCATCACATTTCCTGCTTGCTATATAGTTCCCGTAGTTGCTCGTAGGGCAGTTTGGTGAATCTATATCTAGGTATATGAACGAAACGAAATATTAAAAAAAATTAAATACGCTTATTTATCTACTATTCTACTTTACAAATAAAATTTCTTTCGATTTATCAAGAATAAAAGATTCATTTCTTACTCGACGAGCTAAATTTAATCGAACAATTATGATTCGTTTGAGGCCGATAAAAGAGAAAAAAAAAAAAAACGAGAAAACAATACTTTGCAAGTAAAAGTAATAGCTAATGCGCGAGTTAACGTGAGTCATAAAAAAATATACAGAGTGTCCTATTAAATTCGAACATTTTTATTTAATATACGTACGTTTATCAATGAAGTATCGACTTGAATGGGGACACCCTGTATGCAGGGCGCACAAGCATCGTGCGCGCGTGCGCGCATGTGTGCAGTGTGTATGCGTGTTTATGAGTGAAAGAGAGAGAGAAAGATATATATATATATATATATATATATACGGTTAGAAGAGAATACACACGTACGGCCGGCATACGTCCGCACGCAGTGATTAGTGTTGTCTGGGTACGAAGTTGCTGCTTTTACGGAGTCCTCCTCTCTTCTGGTCAGCAGTGCTGGGCTCGCTAGTGCGCGCTGGTGCGCGTATACGTCCGTTCGTTCGTTCAGAGACGGACGGGACTCTGCGCGCATTATGCGCTGCCCCATAAGAACGTATCGTTTGGGTTTTGCGTCTCATATTTCGTTATCGTCAGGATTAAAATCTTAAGTCGTGATGTCGTCGTCATCATCGTCGTCGACGACGACGACTTCGTCCTCGTCATCGTGAACCTCGTCCTCGTCGTCGTCGATCTCGTCGTCGACATCGTCATCGTCGTCGTTGTCGTCGGTTTTTTTTTCTTTTTTTTCTTTTTCTTTTTCCTTTTATTTCTCGTCGTACTTGCTCAACGTCGTACGATCGTATAATAAAATCGTTTCGTACGTATCGCGCGTCGCCACGGCTGGGCGGAGCCCTCTCCTCGTTGATCTACGTTCGGTCGAGCTCGTTTACGGTGATTCTCTCTTTTTTCTTTTTTTTGTAATTTTTTTTCTCTCATTATCAGTCTTATTATTTCGTTTCTAGTTTTTCTTTCCTTCTTTTTTTTTTTTAATTATTACCTTTCCTTCCCTCAACCTCACACCCTTACTCTAAAACAAAGTCCCCTCTCCACCTACACCAAAGCCGTCGGATTCTCCTCTTTCACCCTTTGTCCTCTTGTTCTCTCTCACCTCCCTCCCTCCTGAAGCACCCACCCATCCACCCCACCTTTTCCTTTTTTACTTTGCGAGTTTTTGTGCATTGCGAAACACGTGCGTACAAAACGGATAATTACATGGGATTCCGCGTCATTCCCCGAGGCTGCAGCTTCGTTGGACAGGACATGGATTCTTTAAGGAAATATTCGGTATGATTAATCGTAATTTGGTGAAATTAAGAGTACCCATTTAATTCGAACAACGTGCGTTTGAATTTATTATTATTCTTATTGTTATTATTTTTTTCTACATATAATTTGACTTAATTCAAACGACATTTCGAAGGACGTTGGTAATATTATTCGCTAATTAATAAATGATTAAATTATTTAAAAGAGAGAAAGAGAGAGAGAGAGACAGAAAGAGAGACATATATTATATATGTGTACGTGCGTTTTATCACGATGGGATAACATTTGACATTAGAGTTGTTAAATAATGCGATAGGAAGCGCGTTAAATACGTCTTATTGTTTACTCGTTTGATCGTTCTTAAATATTTCTTTTTTAACGACCTACTTCGTTAATATGAATGGAGAACGTCGTCGAGTGTGTGTATTCACGTAACGAGTGTATCCACATTATACGTGATTTCATTCGCATTTCTTTGACACGGATTTCCCCGAACGGAACCGTAAGTTTCCGTAGTAATTGGATTTATTCTTTTGCCTTTATTATAAGAAAAACAATTCTCCTACAAATTTTCTTCCCTTTGCGACGGAATAAAGGCGTTAACGTTATAAATTGATTTTATTAGAGTAAGATCCTAGATAAAATATATTCTACTTGTTCGCGTTTAAATTAACGTCGATTAAAATATATAAAGTAGAACTTTATATATTTTATTATTATTATTAGTAGTGTTATTGTATAAGAGTGATTCTCTCTCTCTTCCTCTCGTATTTTATTTTATTACGCGTTGGCGCATTTATTAGAGACACACGGTCCGTAAGGCGGTAACAACTCTCGAGCGAGTATCATTAAAATACATGGGAAACTAGAAGTACTTGAATTGAATATCGCGTGGGACTGTTGTGTATATTCTCACGTTGTTCACCATGGAACAAGCATCGTGCAACAGGTGCTGCGTGACGAGCAAACTCAGATTTTTATCGTCGAATTGGTTTTAGCGTTGCATAGAATCCGTAGTTTTTCTTTTCTTTTTTATTTCCTCATCGACGCAATGAATCCACTTTTCTCGCGGATTCTTGTTGAAGTTAATCTTCTTCATGATTCACGAAAGAATTCGTGGGATTTAATGAATTTTCTTTTTTCTTTTTTTTCTTCTTCCAATACAATATCAATTTCTTTTATCTTCTAAACAGAATAATATTGTTTAATTAATAGTCTTCTTTATTTTTTATACTGTGGGATTAAAAAAAAAAAAAAAAAGAAAAGAAAGAAGACTATATACGATACGTAGAGTTAACTTCTTTAAAACTCTCGTCTATTTAAACAGGAACTGTTAATTTGACTATTAATACGCAACCCTCCTGTTCTATTCGACATCGTTCACAATGCATAACGGAGCACGCAGGTCCGTTCTCTTGTGTTGCTTTTACGGTCATTTGTTACATATAAAACGAAACGCATTTTTTCTTTTCTTTCCCTTCCGTTTTTCGTTGTAATTTAAAATAATTGATTTATCCCTCAATTACAGCATGGAAGTACAGAATCATGTGACAAAGTCAGCGATTGTAAAAGCGTACATACGTGGGCAAATGGATTTGAAAAATTATTGGGAGACCCAAAGGGTTTGCAGACGTTTGCAGTAAGAATGAATTTTTTTTTTGTTTTCTTCTATTCGTGAAATTACATAAATAATAAAATTTTTTGATCACAGACATAAGTAATGTTTACGCATATAATCAGTTTGTTTTTCCTTTTGTATTTTTTTCAGGAATTTTTGAAGAAAGAATTTAGTCACGAGAACATTTATTTTTGGGCTGCTTGTGAAAGATATAAGGATACAGAAGACCCAATTAGTCGATGCAGATTAGCTTGGCAGATTTACCAACGTCATTTATCAAATACAGCGGCAGAACCAGTAAATGTTGACAGCCATGCTTCTGGACAGATCACTCAAGAACTTCTTAATGAAGCTCCTGCGAATCTTTTTCTACAAGTATGTGATAGTGGATTTCTTTTTCTTTTATATATATATATATATATACATATATGCATATGTATATATATATATATGTATATATATATATATATATACACGTGTATATTATCGATCCAAGTGAACGCGTGCAAAAGTTCGAGCTACGTTGTAGGATCCTTATTATTTATTTTGATTTTTTGGATATTTTTTTCATAGGCACAAAAGCAGGTGTTTAATTTAATGAAGTTCGATAGTTACCCTAGATTTCTAAGGTCTGAACTTTATCGTCATTGTTTAGAAACAGGAAATAGTGCTATCAGTATAGAAGATTATGATTTAAATCTTATTAGTTCACCTAGCGTGAAACTTAAGAAGAGCCATTCGGATGCGGAAGACCGTTGCCGGAAATCTATTCTTCCTTGGCATAGAAAAAATAGGTAATTAATATTTAATCTTTAAATCTCAATAAATAATTTTATTCTATAGACATTTATTTGCATTTTAACATTTATAGATCAAAATCGAAAGATCGTGGTGAAACAGAGTATAATAAAACCCCCAACCGAAGTGAAACTATATACAAGAGTTTTACTACCATTAAGAGAGAAGCAGAAGGTAATAACAATGAGGATAGCGTATCTATATCTAGTAGCAGATCCTCTTTAGCATCATGGGATTTGGCATTGAGGCAATCATTTAACAAACATGTAAGTATCATATAATATATATATATATATATATATATATATATATCTCACATTTATATTATTTATACATTGGTGTAACAATATTACGCGATAAAAAATTTAAGAACGGATTAGCCAACGTATGAAGAGAAGAAAAAATGATAGGTCCCATTAAGATGGGTCCGGAAATGCTTAATTTCTGAGTTATAAGACTTCCAAATATAATCATGATGTATTGCCATCCGGCACACCATAAACGAAATGCATTGACGCGAATGCATTCATTTGAATATCATTGTCTCAACAACACGCTAGAATGAATAACGCATATTCAATACATAAAACTCCAATAATATCTAACATGCTTCAAAGTCAAGAATTTTCGGACGTGTTTGGAATTAAATGAGACGATGAACTCAGGCATGTATTCAGAGAGGAAATAGACATTTCAAACATTTCATATTAAATGAAATATTAATAGAGCGTATCATAATTCCAAGAAATAAATATAATTAGAATATATTAAGATCATACTTGAAAGTCTTAATAACTTAGAAATTAAGCATTTCCGGACTTGTCTTGATAAAATCTATTTTGTTCTTTTCTTCATACGAGGAATTCAATTCTAAAGTTAATTTTATTGAAACCTTTTATATAATATTGATATTGGGAGAAAGTTAGATTTTGAAAGAAATCTCAACAAAAATCTCTTTCCTTATTCCTTACATATGAAAGGATAAGTTAATGCAGTCACTTATACGTGCCATTTAGTGGAGTTTCTAATTGATTCATCATACAATTTATAATAATATCGTCTATTGAATTATTTTAATAATCAGAGAAGTAGATATTAAATGTTCATTTATTTCTCATGTATGTGAGTTAGTTTGTATAAATTGTAGTCAGTATCGTCCTGTGAAGGACAGTTGAATGAAAAGAAAGAAGTTCGCACCAAATGTACCGGGTTGTGTCGAGTAATATTATCGGACGGGTCCACTACAGTAGTGCCGACTAGCCAAACTGAGAGCATTAAAGATGTGGTTACTCGCCTCCTCGATAAAAGAGCTCTTCGATATACTAACTATGATGTTCTTATACTAGCTACGGATGAGGTTTGTGTCTCTTTCTATTTACATAATGGAAATTTAAAAAGCATTAAAATGACTAACACAAATCAATAAATACTGCGTTACATTTGTATGCATTGAAGCCAATATTGCTAAACGCTGATTAAGATTGTTAGATAATGGATAAAGGTTATGGGATATAATGGTATCTTGCACGTATTATATTCTCTCTCTCTCTCTCTCTCTCTCCCTCTTTCTCTCTTTCTCTATAAAATCTCGATTCTATTATTGACTCTTATATTGCACATATATTTTTATAAAATGAGGAACCTACAAATGCTTAAATATTCTCGGGCTATTGCACAGTTGATATAAATATGATGGGAATATCCTTGGAAAGAAGGCTTAAACGCCTTATATAATAAGAATATAACTTTAAATATATCGAGGATTTAACCATTGCTAATGCTTATAATTTAATCTGTATAAGATAACATATACATACATATACATATGTATGTATATGTATATATATATGTATAAGCAGTGTCAAATTTGAAGATGTAATCCTTATTAATCATTAATAATTTCATTTATTTTCAGGTAGTGGATACAAAATATCCTTCTTCAGTATTAGCAGGACAAGAGGTAGAAGTTGTACCAACAAAGGTTTTGAAAGTTGATTTACCTTCACGTAGAGTAATCACCGTGATCGCACATAAGGGAAGAACTCTTAAAGAAGTACTCAGGCCTCTTTTGAATAAATATGGTTTCAATTTGGATTTAATTAGTATTTGGAGCGAGGGTCATCGCGTTTGTATGGACATTTCAGCTATTAATGCACCCACGAGACTTACATTGACTACAAACAGCGAAGGTGAAATATACATAGATAAACATTTGAAAAAAAAAAATATGTGATGTCTTTATAAGAATTTTCTGATTATAAATTAGATGCCCAAAGAGATCCAGCTATGGTCAAGTATTCTGATGAAATATCACGTGGACAGCCAACCTTGGATGAAATAACAAATAAAGTATTTGAAGAATTGTTAGTAGGAAAAAGTGCAAGCAAATATCAATATAATGAAGGCTCATGTAAAGTATGTCTTTCGCAACGAATACAAAAATCTATTTAATTATTAAATCTATGTATATATATATATATAAATCTTAATACATATCTTTTTTGTTTCTTTTTTTTCCATATCGCAGTCTGATGATCAACGTTCCGAAGGTTCTTCTATACTGCCAAGTAAATTTTTTGTCCGTGATTCTACCATGCATGGGAAAAAGAAGGTATGGTTAATTAATTTTGTTCTTTTTTCTTTTTTTTTTTTTTTTTTTTTTTTATAAAAAGAATATTGACATTATATTATCAATGATTATTTCAATATTTTTGAAGATGAAATCTAAGTATACCACCGGAAGTGAGAAAAGTGGTGGCACTACTGAATCCGTTAGCGAAGAAACTACTAGACCTCATCCTCCTCTTATTGCTAAGTGGCGTAATGGCGTGAAATTGCAACTTCCTGGAAGGTTCGACGGAGATGGTAAGTTTCGAATCTTCGATGAAATCACTAATCTTACTATATTAAATGTATACGCAATATATTTATTGCTTTATAGATTTGTACGAGGGATTGAAGAGGGCACAACGATCTAGGCTAGAAGATCAAAGAGGAACAGAAATTAATTTCGAATTGCCGGATTTCTTAAAGGTAAACAAAACATATACTATGTTACAAATCATTGCCATAATTGATGAATAGGATTTGAATCATCTAGAGATAGGAAGAAAAGGAGATAAAATGAGCATATTAATTAACAATTAACTATTTAACGAAACGAAATAAAATAGAATGGAAAAAAAAGAAAAATAAATAAATAAATAAGTAAATAAATAAAAAAGAAAAGAAAAGAAAAGAAAAGAAAAGAAAAAAATTATTCTATGAGAATGTTGTCATGCTTACATGCACTGTAATCTTAAGTTCATTGTCATAATGCATTTCGACTCTTAAAGCTATGAAATTACTAATCAGAACAAGGAAAATGGGAAACCTTTGGATCGCAACAAGTTTCGAAGAGCTCGCGTAACGCCTACCAATTTCTGCGAGGGAAGCACGAAATTCTATGATACCGGTGAGGAAAAAGATGTTACGACCGGGCAAGAGCGTGCAACGTACTTGACAAATGGTAGAATCGTAGAACGATTAACAACAGTGCCCGATACAATAGAATCTGTGAGTAAAGGTCTTGATACGTCATTTACTTTGGATGGAACTATAGTAGATGGAGATCAGACAATCGTTGAGAATGGATTTCGTTCGGACCCAAAACATCAAGAGTCCCATTCGGTGGATAGTCAGGTATCGCCAACTACAAAATTATCAAAACCACCGCCATTACCACCAAAACCTAAAAATCTTGTTATGAACGTAGTAAAGACTAGTTATATTATGAATAATACATCGAAGACACATCAAAAATCTGGAAAGGAGAGTCCTATGAACAATCAATCGGAATCCTGTCAAAATAAAAATGTTATCATTTAGCTCGGATTGTATTTCATCGATTGTCGATAATCGACAAATTTATATTATTTAAAACGTCAAAGCCTTTGGAATAAATATAATATAGAATTTCTTCCATTTTATATCTATGTGTCTTCGTTCATAGATCAAGATTTGATAGAGATAGAAAAGAAAGAGAATCAGTACTGGGACGATTCGCTAACGATGATAGAGATTATCTTGACATATCCAAGAAAAATTACTTTGTAACATTTTTATATTCAATAGAAATTCAATGAAATTAAAAAGAGACAAAAGAAGAGGTCTGATCAAAAAAAAAAAAACAAAAGAGAGAGAGAGAACGTTAATGTATTGACGTGGAAGGATCGTTTGTTTTTTTTTCCTTTTCTATGATAAGAAGAAATCAATAAAAATGTATGAATAGACTCAGGAAAAAAAATCGGACGGTGCTACGCGCGAGCATGGAAATTACGAGATATTTTAATAAAAATAAAAAGAAAAAAAAAAAAGAAAAAAAGAAAAGACGACGAATCGTAGTTGTAAACGGAGCATTTCTTGATAGAATCATTCATAAAAATTGTATTTACATGACATTTTTTTTCTTTTTTTTTTTTTTTCTTTTTTTTGGTTTTTCAACGCAAATTCTAACGCTCCATTGTGGCCTTCGAAAAATACTTCCTTTGTAATTTAGCCAAGATAAAAAAAAAAAGTATATGTGTATTATTATATTCTCACAATCACGTAACTACATGCAGCTGTGTTAGTAAAATAGCTTTGTACGTGCCTTAAAATTAACGATACCTTTCATGTAAGATCGAGAATAGCGCAGGACAATGTCGTCGTGATCGTTATATTTATAACTTTATGATATATATTGTTACATTCCTGGTTGTACAGGACACGTTAGGAATATTTTATTATATTTATAATCATCGACGCATGTGTTGTTACATCAACGAAAGATTTGTGAAAGGAATCCACAAATTTAATACGAATAAATAAATTATCGAAATTTCGTTTAACAAATTGTATCGATCTAATTCGTTCTCACCTTTGTGATATTTAATTACGTGGACAATATATTGAAAAAGTTCACACGAAAAGTTTCTTTCCATTTTTAAGAATGAAGTTTTTATACAATTAAAAAAAATAAAATAAAATGAATAACAAAATTTGTAAAAAGGCGCGAACTTTTCAAATAAGCGAAACGCATTAATTAATTTAATGCTATCGAGTGTTTAGTAAGAAAATAATATTAACAATAACAATTTATTATATTTATTAATATATTATTTATTTATTTATTTATTTATTTATTTCATTCGGATACGCGTTTAAATCAAGACAATAAATTTAATTACTTAACGATGATTCGTTCATTTTATCGATTACGTATTTCCGATCGGTATCATATTTCTGGCCGACAGAGAGCGCCACCATTTTTGGCGCGCGCACGTACCGTGATCGACGTATTTATTTCTTATGGATAAACGATTTATATTTGAAACGTATGCGTTATGGAGGGTTTAACAAGTTCATCGTCATATTGGAATTAGCTTTCAACGTAATAATATCGAATGATCGATCTCTCTTATTGGTCATGTTAATTCTATTGGTCATCAAACAGGATTCTCACGTCGTGATATCATCTCGTCTAGGTAAGCATTATTGTTGTTCTATATTTCTTTCTCGCAACAGGATATATATTTATACATATATATATACGCATATGTACATTTATGTATGTACATATCTATATTTTTTTTCATTTATTTATTTATCGTTCTAACGTTAGACAAATTTCGAAAAAATTGTTTACCCTCAAAATGAACGTTTCGATGAATATATCAATTATTAATTAGATCAAATACTGTAACATAACCCATTGAAATGGTGTACGATCAAGTTACATTAACGGCTATGATATTTTTCTTATTTAAGGTTAATGAATTAATCTGATATTAGTAAATATACGTATGAACGTTCGAGGCTCGAAAGGGCAGGTCGATTCCTCTAATTCTGGCTTTCTTCTCTCGTTGATCGTAACTACGCGATATAGTTGATACGTATATATACATATGTATGTTACATCATTATAGGTTAAGCTTTATTGGTCTTTTTGATGGGTTTGATGATTCCCCTCCTACCCTTCTTCTTCTTCATCATCTCTTCACTCGTCCCTTACGATATATATATATATATATATATATATATATATATATATATGTATATGTATATATGTATATATATAATAATCGGTATGGAAAATTGTTGTTAAATGATCCATAAGTAATTTTCAAAGACCTCTCGAATTTCACTTTTTATGGGACATCCGAATAGCGATACGATACACAATGTGTCATCGTATACACGAGATTCACTTGTGTGTTGTGTGTGTTGTGCCTGTATGTATTTATGTATGTTTATATGTATACAGGGTGATTATAAATTAAGGACCAGGTGAATATTTCGTTTATTAGAAATAAAAAAATATATATTATATAATATATATATTAAGAAGCATTATTACGTCGAATAATATTTACGACTTCCTCTTAAATCAGAAGTTTAATAATTTTTAGGTTTTTTCTTTGTTTTCAATTCATTTTCTTTTTCTCGTTCATTTATTAAAATTATATATTCGAATGAATTATCTTGCAAAAGAAAAGTTATTACTGAACGAGCGTAGATCTAATAGTTAATAATTAACGAGACTTTATATGTTTAATATAACTTTAAGATTAATGTATAATTAAAAAAAAAAAAAGCGAAGAAAGGAAAAGAAAAGAAAAAAGAATTCCATTCATTTTCAAAGTTTCAATTATTTCCTTGTATGTAATACAATCGCCATACATACATATATACGTACGTATATTTCTTTTTTCTTTTTTTTTTCTATTATTTCTAACAAAGGAGATATTCAACTGGTATCTTCATTTATAATTACCCTGTATGTATGTATATACATGAAATTTGATCTATATAATTTGACGGGTCAACGAGCATCGTCATTGTCATCATCATCATCATCGTCATCACGAGCGTACGAGATGATACAATAACTTTTCTATGACAACCGAGAAGCCAAATATTTTTTGCTATCGAGGATATTTTCTTTCTTTCTTTTTTTTTTTCTTTTTTTTTTTTTAATCGTTCCTTGAAGATTAAATTTCATTGATACGCTTGCTGCATGTTATGGAATCATTGAGCGTTACTCAATTTAAAGAACCAACATGAATATCACTTGTCGTGTACTTTACCAATTGAAATACACAAATATTGTTATAAACAATATGAGTCATACTACGTAGGACATATTACGTGTTCCTTCCTAGTCATTTCGTATTAATAGATTATCGAATTCGAAGTCGGACTTTCAAATATAAACAATTATTACAATTCTTTAATACTTTTTAATACTTTTTATTTTTTCATATTTAATATATTATCTCTCAATTCGATACTGCCGTACCATTTTTGTTCTATTATTTATTCTTATCTTCGTTAAGGAAAAAAAGAAAAAGGAAGAAAAAAGGAAAGTCCTTCAATGTACGTTCCGAACGACGATTACTTGAATAATTTCGTAAAAAAATTTTCCTTTCCAGCAAGTTTTTGATCGTTGTAAACTTTTAACGACTACAACGACGAAAGAGAAGATTCAACTACGCGTATGCACACACGTAATACACATGAACGAACAAACATATATATATACACGCACGCAAGACGCATCATACATCCATATACAATACGCACGCACAGCTGGAAATTCAAGTCTCCTTAAGGATAGGCAACCCAATCGGCGTGCAGGTCGTGAAGGGTAAGGGAGGAAGCTGTAAAGTTTCTCTTCGATTATACGAGATGACATATACATAGATACATATATACGTATATATATATATATGCATGTATATATATACAATACAAGAGATCACTCGCGTCACTATTCTCGAGTCGCTCGAGTAACCGAGTAACGGACCGTTCGCAATAACGTGGGCGAGCTCTCTTATATACAGAACATATCTATCTGTATATATATATATATGTATATATAGATATATAGTATCCACACACGAAAGTAGTGACTGTTACGAAGGGTCTGGACCCCCCATAATACACCAGACGGCGACATTCGGTCCTCGTCTCTTTCTCTCTCTCTCTCTCTGTCTCACACACACACACACGCACACACGCACGACATATAAGCTCTCGCGCTTATCCGTCTTCCTACGCCCCTCCACTCATCCTCCTCCTCCTCCCTTCCTACTTCCATCTTCCTTGATGTGTCCTCTCTCGCTTCTTCCCTTTTTCTTTTTTATTTTTTCTCTTTTTTCTTCTATCTCTTTTTTTTCTTTTCTCTCTTCTCTCTTTCCCTCTCTCTCTCTCTCTCTCTACTGTCTCGAGGTCGTCATCGTCGTCGTCGTCGTCATCATCGTCGTCGTCGTCGTCGTCGTCGTTGGTGCTTTGTTTATCGCAAATATGCGCTCACACTGTGATACTAGAGACCTTCCTTCTTTCATAAGAAGAGAACAGAACGAGAACGAACGTTCGTCGGTCAGTTTATGTCGAGGTGCGATCGAGTGAGGATCGTCGCGTGCGATCTACGATAATAATCACGATCACGAATTCCTTATCATCATTGAATCCATTAATCGTAATTGTCATTGTCATTTGTCGCGAACGAGAAAGAGAGAGAGAGAGAGAGAGAGGGAGAAAGATAAGGAGAGATCGGTAACGTTCGTGAAATCTCGTCCGCCATTTTTTTCTCCCTTTTGATCGATCGATCGTTCGACAGACCACTTTGTTTTTTTCCTTCTTTTTTTTTTTCTTTTTATCTCTTGTTTCTCGTGGATCTCGTTCTCAAACGATCATATTGCTTCCTCCTCCTTCTCTTCTTCTTCTTCTTCTTCTTCTTTTTCCTTGTTGTTGTTGTATGTCATGCTTGTCGAAAGAAATCGAAACTGTGTAATTATTGTATATCATTATGGATGTATTATCGATTCCATTAAATCATTATGTACATTTTTTAATTAATTTAATTAAATAAATTGTACATTATTAATCGAATAGATTTATTAACGTGGCTCGTACTCGTTATTAACGTGATATATTAACGAGAATATCGTCGGGACGTAAGATCGTACACGATCGTATAATTCGCTAAGGAATTATCGGGATTGGACAGTTACTACTTTGTAAAAAATACAGTAAGTCGTATTGCTTAGAAACAGTTTGCAATCGTCTGTCCCTTTTGACATTGAGAAAGGCATATCTCTCCGGCGGCGACGTGTTTGCTATTGCGATTAATCAGCTGATACTTCTCTCTATCTTATACATATGTATAACACTATTATAGGCCTTCGTCGAATCAGTCGAGCGGTTCGTTCCCCTGCATTTTCAAAGATTCGCATTCATTTTTTCGTTATTGAAAGAAACTTTCATGGCAATGTTTCTTTAATGCTCGTTTTAATTAAGTATTTGAACATTTATTAAAATATAATAATAGTACTTCGATAGAAATGTAAACGAAATATTGTATATTATAATCGATTGTATATATATATATATATATATATATATTATATATTATTGATTTGTTTATTAGGTATACGAGAAGTTACATGAAAAAAAAATAGAATAATTATAAGAATAGTTATATGAATAATATTTGTTGTTGATCTTTTTTCTCGTTTTTCTTTTCACCGACATTTAATCACCCACATAATTTTCAATATCATTTGTTCAACGTTATTTAATTTAATAGATTTTTTGTTTTCTTTTTGTCCTTTTGTTATTTTATACGTTTTTGGTAATTTATATGATAAAATGATTCATTCTTTTTTTTTTTATCCACAGATAACGAGACACATAGGTGAAGAACAATGTCACAGGTGCGTAGAATCGTTCCGTTAATGAAAATCACCGAGATCGAAGAGAATTCTCCGCAAAAGGTTCAGGATACATCGCTGGAAATAGTCTCGCCGGTATCAAGCATGATTCGTGATTTCGATAAGTCTACGATATCGTTAAAAGAATGTATGGAAAGTGATACGAACAATTCAGAGCTGCGTTTAGGTAAGTCCTTTCAATAATCACACTTTTTTCAGTCAAACATTCTTTTTTTATTTCTTTTTTTTTTTCAACAAATATGTAAACTTCTCTTTGTTCGATACAATGTATATCGAAAATTACATAGGAAACTGTTATTATTATTATTACTTTTTTTTTGTTAATCTATTTTTTTATTTTTAATCGATTCGCGACGTTTGATAGTTAATTCTAATCAAACAATAATTTTACAATAATTGTAATAATATTAGATAAAAATCGGTATCTTTTTTTTATGTATGTAACGTAAATACGTTATTAATAAAATAAATCGAATTTGTTTAACGGAGATGATAGGAAAAATAGCAATAACAATGTGACGAGATAACGTCAGGTTTGGTCTACGAGAGGCGTGTATCTCAGGGAAGAAATGGGATGGTATGGGGTGACAGGGATTTCCCCGTCCTTGAGGAGTCCGGGGATGTCTGCTACGGCTTTGAACTCCTCGAACGTCGTCTTTAAGTACCTCGCGGTTCTCATTCGACCCGAGACGCATCATTAAATTCGATCCTAATTCGACCATTCAATATGTTGTTCTCTTTCCCACATCATTTATTATTCTTATTATTATTATCATTATTATTATTATTATTTTCTTTTCATTCGCAACGAAAGGGATGAACGATATATAATGTTATTATTCGACATCGATAATTATAAAATATATCCAAATATCTGTATTAAAAAAATTTTTAATTACAAGAAAATTAAACGTTTCATTACTCGATTCATTTATCGATTAAAATATTAATCGAAATGAATTGAAATGTCGATTGAAACGTTACGTAGCGTTGACGTTAAACTAATTCGCGGAATACATTGGATTGTTGAGTATAACGAAGAAAGGAGGGCTGTTAGTCCATTGTTTAGAAAAAGATAGGTTAGGAAGGAAAGGCAAGAGAGAGAGAGAGAGAAAGAGAAAGTAATGTAATCGAAAGCAGCTTGCCTTTGAACCCTCGAAGCCGTGTCGATAGCAAAAGTGAAATGCGTCGTACGGTCTCTTGTATTTATTGGCACCCATCTTGAGACGGAATAAACGATTGTGTGCGTTCTAGCAGGAGGACCGTTGAGCACCCCTTCGTAACCAAGAGGCAAGTAGTAGCTCGTGCCGAACTTTTAGACCAGGTGCTCACCTGCCTTTTCGTCGGGTGGCTGACTGGCTGGCCTGGCTGGATGGTTGGCTGGTTGGTTGGCTGGTTGGCTGGCTGGCTGGCTGGCTGGCTGGCTGGCTGGCTGGTTGACTGACTGGTAGGCTGGTTGGGTTGGTGCCCTCTTTTGCCCTGGCGGGAGCCCAGCCCTGTGTTGTTCTCTTTCTCTTTCTCTTTCCCTCTCTCTCTCTCTCTCTCTCTCTCTCTCTCTCTCTCTCTCTCTCTCTCTCTCTCTCTCTCTCTCTCTCTCTCTCTCTCTCTCTGTCTTCCCCTCTCTTCACTCTATTCGTCGTATTGGTGAACGGCACGCTCTACGTATAGTCTTCTTCCTTTCGCACACGCACTGCCGTCTCTCTCGCTCGAAGGGCACTGACCTACCCCCGTAATACGAAGACCGTTAAGAGATCAGCTGTTCGCTCGCAAAAAGTCTCAGATTCGCGCGTTTCTCCCTATCGCGACGGGACACCCATCTGGGTTTACTTGCTCGGCTAGCGATTTTTAACGAGTTGGGTGGGGGGTTGAGATATTACGATTTGTCCTATAATAATTGTATTTTTTATTTTTTATTTTTTATTGTAAATATATATATGTGTATATATATATTATTATATGTTTTATTCAATCAACACCTCTCGTCTGTCCTAATGAAATTTGATTTATTTGGAATTGCATTTGTTATTTAAGAGATTACGTAAACTTAGATCGTCCAAGAAAAGACAATTTTTAGGGATTTTTTTTTGCCATGTGATCTATTTTGTTAATAAAAAGATCATTGAATATATGTGCTAGTCGGAGGAATATTTTTCGCAACATAAAAATTAAAACAATTTGTTATCTTCTTCGAGTGTTATCTATGTCGAATGAAGAAGAATCATTTTTGATAATACTTCGATAATACGAGTATTATCAAAAATGAAAAACATCGAGAAGCCTTTAAAAAAGATGCGTTAAAAAAAAAAAGAAAAAACTAGCTCTTCACTGAAAATTTCCATTAGACAAAAACTACGATAAGGGAAATAAATGTTATTTGTGGTACATAATCATTGGCACACTGAATTTGAAAAAAAAAAAATTTTTAATAAAACGAGGTTTAATGTTTGCTTTATATTAATCAATTATTTCGAATTTTTTAACGCAAATTTTTAAATAACACTCGTGAACCATACAATACATTACTATCGAATAACAAAATTTTTAGTAAAATCGATCTTTCTTTTTCAACGAATTTTCAATTTTCCATTTATTTTACTTACATAATCCCCATAAATACGATTTCCATCGATGAAATTTTTTCTATTATCGTAGTACCGACGTAGTACTCTGCCACATGTTCTCTCCGTTCTCGTTCGTTGCCCCGGAAATACGTTGCACTTTGCTAAAGGGTAAAACCTAGAGGTTGACTTACGTATGTTGCACTATTATCACTCATAGAACGTCTCTCTTGTCTGGAGAGGAAAAAAAGCTACAATAAAAATATTTACGCGTGGCTATTGTATCGTATTATATTATTATTTATTTATTCATTTTCTTTTTTTTATCTTTTTTCTTTTTTTCAAAAATTCAATATTAATAACCAATGGCCTCCACGTTCGCGAAAGTATGCAAGTACTTGAAATTCATTCGTTCATTTCCCTCGACACGAGAAAGAAGGTAGGAAAAGAAGGGTCTCGCCTCGGTGAACTATAGTAATTGATGTTAACACTACTACTGGTATGGGTAATGTTCAACGGAAAACATACACTTGGAATGGAAAAAGAAAAGAAAAGGAAAAAAAAAAAAAGAGTAAAAACAGAAACCGTGGCCGTAAGGTGGAAATACACCTGTTTTGCACGCAACTTAGACGGCTAAATATCTATTAAATTCGATTATCGATTAGTTAGATACGTTTTAACCTTCATTCGTTTATTATCTCGTATCGTATGCGATAAGGATTTGATAAACTTTTGGAGCCATACGATTTTAAAGAAAATAAAAAATAAAAACTCAAGTTGCACAGAATTTTTTTAAATATAAAAAAAAATGGAGAAACTGAATGAAAAAGTTTAAATAAAATATTAAATTGTATGACTATGCGTATGTCTTCAATTTTTCGAGATGGGTTTAAATATATCTCACTGTGTATAAAAAGCTAAGCAAAAAGTGAAACCCAGTTTTTAAACTACCTAAACCTAAAGAATTAACGGAAAGTGATATTTAATTTTTACGAAATCTCGATCACTGATCGATGGATAATCATTATTTCGACTCACGATGCTGTTCACGACCATCATTATCGTCGTATCGTGTATTTGCTTATCGATCTATACGATGATGAGAGAGATACGACGAAATCCTACTTTGTACCCCCACTCTCTTCATTTCCCCTTCCCTTTTTTTCTTTTTCTTGCCTTTAACTTTCCCATCGTTCACGTACGAATCGTTCCCATACGGGAACGACAGTTGTAACGAATCGATCCGAAAAATTTTATCGATTTAAAGGGAAAAAAAAAAAAGAAAAAAAAGAAGATACGAGACTGATCGAAACTCGAATTTTATTTATTCGAAATTTCGCCGGATAAAAAATTTCATTTGAGAAGAAATTGATTTCCAAATATATATTATATAATGTAAATTATATATTATGCATACGGACACGAATGCGATTGTATAACTTACGTACGTGAAAGTGTAGGACAATATGAGCGACGGGGCAGGACACCGGTGATATTGGTAACGAAAAAAGAAAAAAGGAAAGAAAAAAAGAAAGAAAAATAGGAACGGCCGAAACGAGAAGCGCCAACCTTTTTTCGACCTATGGCTTTCCGATCGGGATTTAAAATTTAAATATCTTCGAGTAAGAGACTGCTCCAAGGAACACAGACGGAAAGAGAAAGAGAGAGAGGGAAGGGAAAGGGCTCAGGGAAAACGAGAGAGAGGGAGAGAGAAAGAGAGAAGGAGGGAGAAAGAAGGGGGGGAGTGAAGAGATGTAAAGGGTTTTCAAGACCTTGGGGTCTTCTACGGGATATATTAACATATCCTGTAGGGCCGGTAAGGCAGGTCGCGCAACATTTTGGAATATGAAGGCTTGCACTTAGGCAACCTTTAACGGTCACAGACCGAATTACTAATCGGGCCTTTTTTTCACTCACTCTGTTTCTCTCTCTCTCTCTCTCTCTATATATATATATATATTTCCTTTTTTCTTTCATTCTTTTATTCCTCTCAACATTGCGAATAAATTCTTCTTTAACGAACCTTTCGTCGGTCGGAAGGAATGGAATAAAGATAATGAAAGAGAAAAAGAAAAATGTAACCATAATGTTTCTTGACATTGTTGACATTTCTTAAATGCTTTTTACGATATATATATATATATATATATATATATATATATATATATGAGTGTGTGTGCCTGTGTTTATTAGACAAAATCACGACGATCATTCTAAGATGATATTTAAAAAGTATGATTAATCGTTAGTCATCTAAGTAGACCTCGAACATCTTAAGTTATATAATAATCTATTCTATCGAAATATTTCTATTCGTCAATATGAAATTTTTAGTCGTCATGAAATCAAATGAAAAATTCGCCATTAATCGTTCGTTTCACCTTAATTATCATATTTAAAAAAAATGTGATTATTTAAGTAATTATCTTGGACATCGAACGATTTTAATTTCATTTAAGATAATCATTGAATAATCAATATTATCTAAATATTTGTTTCAATCGATCCCCCGTCAAAATGAAATGAAATGAAATGAAATGAAAAATACTCTGGTTGATCGTTGGTTTCATGTTCATAGGGAGGTTTAATAATACTTACCCTTAGAAGA